ATCCTTCAGGATCCAGCTCAAATAATGACTTCATATACAAACATTCTTTCTATGGTGTCATTGGTCCCTGTTCTTGTCCATGCCTCCACCTTTTCATGGATGTTCATGGAGAGAAATAAACTGTCACTCCCAGTAAGTGCTTATAGCACACTGACATTGTGTCAATGTGTGTTCCCCATACTATTTCACATCTGGGTACACTGAGAAAATTCTATATTTTTACTACAGAGCACTGGGGAAACTGGAGAGGGTTTGGAGCCCCAGCATGACTGTTCACAGCAGGCTCCCACACCTCCCTGTACTCCCAGGATCCAGAGCATCTCTGACTCATGGAGAATGGATTACACAAAGGTGCCTCACTTTTTTCACAAGAATCCCTGGAGGAAAGTCCAGCCTGGATCCTTGTGATACAGATGTGGAGTTGAGGCTCAGGTCATCCAAGAACATGCCTGACATACAATTCAAAAGGAATTAAATTAAGGCCTTCTAATTTGTATTAAAAAGAAAGTAAGGGTCATTATAGGATAAATTATAAACACTTCTTTCTCCCTGCCTCTCTCTCCTTTCTCACCTTCTCATTCATTATATATATATATTATTAGTTTTATAAAATATTTTCAAGATAGTTCCACTGTGTCCACATCTCACCCAGGATTCTCTGTGGATAACCTCTCACACTATAATATAATATTTATAAAACTATTGCAGCAATGTTGATAAGTATTACTCAAGTCCATATTATATTACTTTTTATCTAATGTTTTTTTTAAAAAATCATTTCTAAACTTTATTTTTAAGAATGGTTCTTGGTTTCCAGTACAACTGAGCAGAACGTACAGGAAGTACACCCCCCACCCCAATCCTCTGTTACTCATTGACACTGCTTTCTTCATCGCCCACCAGAGTGGCACAGCTGTAGCAGGGGATGAATCTTCCTGAAATACCACAATTATACAAAGTCCATGCCTCTTCTAACAGTTCACTCTCGGTGTTGTTCAATCTGTGGATTTTTACAAATGTACAATGACATATACCCATCATTATAATATCATAGAGAGTATTTTCACTGTCCTAAAAAAAGCATGACTGGGATAGATTGTGTTGCTGGTCTGATTGCTGGATAGACCGTGTGGCCAGTGTTGTGGATTATCTACATAGCCAGCCATGTGAGCATTATGGCAGCTGATTCTCAGAGGGGCTGCGACAGTGGCTGCCCACTTATGTGTGTGCACCTCTGTGATGGGAAGCAGCAATCAGTGATTTGAACGCACATCTCTCATAAGTGAGCGACAGGGTCCTCACCACCCATCCTGGCACTCAAATTCCGTGTGCAAGATAGTCTGGAAACACATGTACCAGGGTCGGGGCCGGGTAGGAGCTGCAGAGCTAAGGGTTGAAACTGAGCAAAGTTAACCACTCACCATGCAAGCCTTCCCCTGGAATTGTCAAGCCTTTACTAGACACCAGAGTTCCAAAAATAGTTACCTCAGACAGATTCTGCCAGTGCCATTCTTGTCCAAGTGGCAGACAGAGATGCTTCCTACTCTACCTCTTCCCTTTCCTTTTCTCTTAGAACCAAATGGAGACTCCCCTTCTGGACATCACACATATAGGCTGACTAGGCTTTGTTTGAAGCCCACTGACCAGGAGTTCACTGCCTCACAAGGAAACTTGACTTGCTATTTATTGGAAGCCTATCATGGGTGAGTGACAGGGGCTCCACTTTGGGCCTATCAGTGCCAGGCATCATGCTGATCATCACATCCATCCAATGAGGTGGGGCAATCCCTGCACCATTTACAAGAGGGGATGAGGCTAAGGGAGCTCATGTTGCTTCTCAAGGGAGAGCCACATTGAACTGAGGTCCATTTTCCCTCTAACATGTGGTGGGGAACCAAAGGAAATCAAGATAGGAGCTTTGTGCACAAGTGTTTGCAATCTAGCTGGGAGACAGCAATGCAATAAATGTTCATTTAGGAGAACAGATACGTGGTGAAAATCACTGATTGGATCTAGGGCAGTGGTTCTCAACCTTTCTAATGCCATAACCCTTTAATACAGTTCCTCATGTTGTGGTGACCCTCAACCATAAAATTTCATTGCTACGTCATAACTATAATTTTGCTACTAGTATGAATTGTAATGTAAATGTCTGTGTTTTCCAATGGTCTTAGGCGACCATGCTATAAGTTCTCAACCTGTGGGTCACGTAAGACCATCAGAAAGCACAGATATTTACATTATGATTCATAACTGTAGCAAAATTACAGTTATGAAGTAGCAACGAAAATAATTTTATGGTTGGGGGTTACCACAACATGAGGAACTGTATTAAAGGGTTGTGGCATTAGAAAGGTTGAGAACCACTGACCTAGGGGGTGCTGGCAGCAGTTCAGGAAAGGCAGAAAGGCCTGCAGGAGCCTCTATACAGGAGGAGAGAAGTGGAGATAAACATTTCAAACTGATGGTGAGCTTCAGGGTTGGGGATTTGCCCTGGACAATCCAGATCTCAGGACTGGATCTGCCTTCTGCCTTCCCTCCAGCAGAGGTTAAATAAGCACAGGCTGCTTTGCCAGCAATCTATTGTTTGTGATGGGGCCGCGTTTCTTGGACTGTAGACCAAGACCTGTCCTTTATGGTATTTGCAATATAGCTTGGCCAAGTTTACTGTGTTTTGGACTCATCTGGAAAGCTTATTAAAATACATATTCCTGCCCAGCCAGTGTGGCTTAGTGGTTGAGCATCGACCATGAACCAGATCATGGTTCTATTCCCAGTCAGGGCACATGCCCAGGTTATGGGCCCAGTGTGGGGTGTGTAGGAGGCAGCTGATCAATGATTCTCATCCTGATGTTTTTATCTCTCTCTCCCTCTCTTTTCCTCTCTAAAATCAATAAAAATATATTTTAAAAAATACACATCCCTGGGCCTTACCTTCAGTGTGTCTGTGTTAGAGTCCAAGAATTAGTATTTCTAGAGCTCCCTACATGATCCTCAGGCCACACTTTGAACAGTGCTAATACACACTGAATTTCATCTTCAGAAAACACTGGGCACCTATATGGTGGTTTTAGATAAAAACATTAGGAAATGGTCTGTGCCAAATCCAGCCTCGCCTCTGCTGTCCCTGTACCAGGAACCATGAGCCATGGGAGGAGGGACTTGGATACTCTACCTGCCTGGACTCTTAAGGGCTGTGTGATATTGGATCACTCGCCTCTGTCAGCTTCAGGTACTTGTTTTATCAATAGGAATACAACTGCTGGCCTCATAGGGATGTGGTGAGGATTATATGAGGGGGCAGGTGAAGGCATAGGGTCTTCATAAGAAGCAAATGTGAAGACAGAGGCAGAAATCGGAGTGCTAAGTTCACAGCCAAGGAACACCATGGACTGCCCTCGACCATCAGACTCTCGGAGACAGGCATGGATTCCCTCGAGCCCACTAGGGGAAACCAACTCTGATTGCATGTTGATCTCAAACTTCAGTTCTCCATAACCAAGAGAGAATGCATTCCTGGTGCTTTAAGTCACTCAGTTTGTGTACTTTGTGATAGCCACCCTAAAAAAAATAATACAGTGCCCTAAATAACTATTTCCCCCCCCCCAAGAAGATATTGAAATAAGATTTTTTTCAATAAGGAGATTGGAGTCATACTTTGGAAACCATTCTTTTATTGTTTACACTCATATCTGCTATTGGCCTAACTTCCTTCAACTATAAGTCTAACTTCCTGTGCAATGAAATGTGACAAAATTCATGTCTGGTTTCAAAGACTAAACTGAAAAGGAATGAATGTGTTCCACATCTAAACTCGTAGGGAAGGCTCAGATGGTGAGAGCCCCACTTCGAAAGGTGGAAAGCAGGGGCACACGTTGCCCCCCCAAGGCCCGTGAGGGCATATTCCAGACACTACCACCGAATCTGTATACTCCTAAAGGGCGGCTTCTCTTCCAGTCCTTGGAGACGCTGTGCCGTTGATCTGTTCACCTGCTTTGCTCAGAGAGGCTGAGAGGCTGTACTGTGCAGACTGTAACACAAACAAACATCCCCAAAAACACCGCATTATCTCTGACTAAGCAGTGACATCATAGATTAGAGACAACATGTAAACAGTCATGTGACCACTTGTTAAATCTACGAGGCAAGGTGCTCCCTTTAAGAACCAAGTATCAAAGCAACCGTGTTATATCTTAATGCGTTTAACATACAATTGTCATTAATACAGCAAGTATTTCTTCAGCACCCATATGCCAGGCCTCATTTTCAAGAGCCATCAGCATTTATTTTTATCTGGACAAATCCAGTATTGTTATGTAATTTTAAGACATTAATTTAGCTTAAAAAGTCCATGGCATAATAATAAAGACACCCTCCCCCTCCCCCACCCTACTCCCAGTCCTATCCTATGAACGTGGTTTAAAAAAAAGAAAAGGCTTACTTTTCATGGGCATATTTTCAGCACTACAAAATACAAAAAAATATATATATATAATTATTTCTTTTCAATGACTATCATAGCTCAACAGCTGCAACCCCCGCCCCACATTTTTAGTCTAATACGATGTTGAAAGAGCCAGTTCAGGAGAAACACAGGTTGAAAAGAAGATTAGTGATGTGAAAATAAAGTGTACAAGGTCGAGGCACTCAGAGCGAAGGGCAGACCCCGGGATCTGAATGCAAACTAGTGAAAACAGCTACAAAGTCAAGTGCCAGGTCTCCGAGACAGAACTGCAAACAAGAAATCAGAAAGCTGGTTAAGGAAGCTGAGGAGAGTAAGCAAGCAGGAAAACATAGTTAAATCAAGCTTGAGGAAGTTGGTACAAAAGAAATATCTGAACAGAGATGACCCAGTAATTTAATTCTGAAAAAGAAAAAAGAAAAGAAAATGAAACAAGTTTTATCTCATCAGAGTTTGTCTTTAGCAAGCTCTTTGTGGGCAGCAGTAGAGGAATTGACCCCCCATCCCGCCGCCTCTGGAAGTCGTCTGCTCCTACTTACTACTCTTGATAGATATCCTCCGAGTCCATCCTTCGATAGTACTTGGCCAGCTTCACAGCAATAATTATAGCCGGAAGTAGCAGTATGGTAGCTTTTCCTATGCCAAACCATAACAAATTCTAGGGGAAAAAAGAAAACCGGGAGGATGACATACATGACAATAGGAAATGGGAAACAACAGTTACTAGGAAAAAAAGAATTCTGTTTTGCAGTTTTTAGAAAAGAGTTATAATTTCATTTATTGAAACCACGGGTGAACTTGATGGGAGCCAGCCACTGGGTAACAAGCTACAAATTATTGTAAGTGAGGGAGCCAGGTTGGCTTCTAGGACATGCAAAATAGCTGTGAGCCAGTCCCCTGTGCTGCCAAGGATGCTGCATGGACAGCCACAGGCAGGGGCTCCAGGCTCCTGGGTGAGTTGTTCTGATGGTCCAGTGACTAGAACCTCCGGGCTTTGTCCTGCCTCTGAACTATGGACAGCAGCATCCTCACCCTCTGGCATTACTGTGTGAAGAAGACGAACCAATGCATAGTGTGTACTAGATTCTCAACAAACAGTCCATATTTATCTTTTTAACTTTTATTGATTCTAGAGAGAAAGAGGAAGGGAGAGAGAGGAAGAGGGAAGAGAGGGAGAAACATTGATTTGTTGTTCCACCTATTCACCTACATTTTTTCATTTAAAAAAAAATCTTTACCCAAAGGTATTTTTCCATTGATTTTTAGAGAGAGTGAAAGAGAAATGGAAAGAGAGAGAAATATTGATGTGAGAGAAACACATTAATTGATTGTCTCCTGTACACACCTCTCCTCTCCCCAAAGGAGCCTGCAACTAAGGTATGTGCCTTTGACTGGTACATCCCCTTTGATTTGTAGGTTGATGCTCTGTCCACTGAGCCAATCCAGCTAGGATTATCCACCTACATATTGGTTGGTTCTTGCATGTGCCCTGACCAAGGATTGAACCCACAACCGTGGTATATCAGGACGATGCTCTAACTAACTGAGCTACTCCATCAGGGTAACACATGGCCCATGGTTAATTGAGCCAATCTTTAAGGTACTTCGTAGGCTGGATTCCATCCTGTTTTGTCTAAAAAGCAATGTTAAAGTACTTTTTAAAACAGCTGCCAATATCTTCAAGTCAGATTTTATAGAGAAATCTAGATTTATGTCTTTTTTTTGAAAAGTCTGAAGTCAGATCTCATAACCTCCCGCACAGCAGCATCGGATGGGGCTGAGCTCTGGTTCTTCCTTCCCGAGGGTGTCTGCCACAGTCTGCCATTCAACATTGTTTAAACTTGCTCAGCAATCAGAACCGAATCAGCTGCACCACCAGATGATGCTGTGTGTGCCCAGCCAGGGTCTTACGTGTGTCCTGCTTTGTGAATCTACAACCTGCCAGGTCCCAGGAGAGGTTCAAGTGTTCATCCTGTGCCTTAGGCTAATCCTGTAGGCAACTCTAGAGCAGTCCTGTGTCTCTCCCCTCCCCCCCCCCCCCCCCCCCGCACCTCCCCTCCCCCCAAGTCCACCGGGAGGCAAAGGCAGCTTGGATTAAACAGCAACGGCCCAAAGCCACCAATGACTATTTCTTTCCAACTATTCTGGACAAATAGCTTTCTTCACGAGGGTCTCCTACCTTCTATGAATACAATTCTAGTAAGGAACGAAGAACTGCAGCTAAGTCTTTGACTTTTCTGGTGAATTAGGTACCAGAACACATTCATTTCCACTTTAGATTTTAGTTCTACATGTAACACACCTGAGCAGAAAACTATTTATGTTACAGTGTGTAGCACAATCTTGGGGGAGGGGGCGGGGAGAATCAAAAGGTAATGAGGTTGTCCCCTGTCCTTATTTTGAAAGAGGAAATTCTCACCATGGGCTCGGTAATGAACTTGCACAGAAAGATGTCAACCACAGAATCTAAAGCAGTGGCCAGAGGTTTGCAGGCTGCGATGTTCCTTGTGACCTGAGGGGTAAAGAAACACAGGCAGACTCTCAGCCAGAGCCACGAATTCATGAGAGGCAGGCATGCCGTGTTCCTCCGGCCTGTTTTCACAAGAGCGATCTCTGTCTGCTGAGATTCGGAGCTGAGAGCCAGTTTCTATGGGTGAGTTCTAAGATGAATAAAAGTACGTGTTAGAAAGCAAGACCTTGATTCTCAGTTTCCAGTTTCCTCACTTGTCATTTGGAACAACAGGACCCATTCCGCTGGACCCCCCGAGAGAATAAAAAAGTACACTTAGCCAAAACCAGTTTGGCTCAGTAGATAGAGCATCGGCCTGTGGACTGATAGGTCCCAGGTTCAATTCCGGTCGAATAAAAATGGAAAGCTGGTTAACTAATAAGTGCACATTTTAGAACCGGGGGCAGCAAACTTTTCCTATAAAGGGCCAGAGGGTAAATTAGATTTGCAGGTGAGACTGCCCGACTTTGCCATGGCAAAGGCAACCACAGATGATATCCAGACATGGGTGTGGCTGTGTGCCAATAAAGTTTTATTTACAAAAACAGCAGTACCTGCAGACCCTGTTCTAGAAGACAGAAAACAATGTACTCATTAATGAGGTGAAAGTAAAGAAGTTCAGAGAATCCCAGACAGTTGCTCCAATCCCATTGACTTAAAAGAGCTACATTCAGCCGAAACCGGTTTGGCTCAATGGATAGAGCATCGGCTTGGAGACTGAAGGGACCCGGGTTTGATTCCGGTCAAGGGCATGTACCTTGGTTGCGGGCATATCCCCAGTAGGGGGTGTGCAAGAGGCAGCTGATCGATGACTCTCTCTCATCGATGTTTCTAACTCTCTATCTCTCTCCCTTCCTCTCTGTACAAAAATCAATAAAATATATTTTAAAAAATATAAAAAAATAGCTACATTCAATCATTTACTCAAAAAGCTATGGTGTATGGACAATAGCATGTGTCTTATTTCTCTCCCATCATTGGTTGGCTCACCTATAGACCTTACAAGGCAACTCATGTTAATAACCTTTTGTCTCTCCAAGTTCAAACGATGTTACACACTCTCTGTATAGGCTTCTGTTAGTTTTACAGAAAACGGGGTTGGGGCTCATATTCTGTATGTTTTTCTGCATCTGTGTGGCTCTGATCATTTTGTACAAATGTCCACTTAATATTCCCACAGTGAGGCTTGTGTATAACACAGCAATTCCTGTCTAGACTTGCTTTCGTTCCAGAGTGTATGCTTGGTATTCCAGGTATGAATGTGACCCAAATGTGGCCCCTTGGTGTAGTGGAGGATATGTGCAATGGTGATGGTGGTGATAATGATAATGCATTTCCTCCACCACCACTAACTCGGATGCTGACACTGAGAAGATCCTGGGGCCCTCATACCTGGGGCGTGGGAGGAGTTGTCAGCACACACATCAAGAAGCTGGCTCTTAAAAGACTAGGTGCATGGCCCATCAGCTGAAGGACAATGGGGACTAGAGGCAGGGATTGGCAAGAGGGATATGATATGCAGAAGGAATTGCATGGAGAAATGTGAATGTTTGCCTGGTCAGCATGGCTTAGTTGTTGAGTATCAATCAACCTATGAAAGATAGGTCATGGTTCAATTCCCAGTCAAGACTCAATCTCCAATGGAGGGCATGGAGAAGGCAGCTGATCAATGATTCTCCCTCATCATTGGTGTTTCTATCTCTCCCTCTCTCTTCCTCTCTAAAATCAATAAAAATATATTTTACAAAAAGAAATATGAAAGTTTCAGGGAATCAAGCAGCTGAGTGTAGCTGGAATATGGGGTGGGGTAGAAAAGAAGATGGCCAGGCAGTTTGGGCTCACATGGCAAAGGGCCAGGGATTGGATTTGAGAAGCCCAGGGCTGCTCAGGGGTAGCCCAAATTTTCCCGAGTCACTAAACTTCTTCAAGGCCATTTGTTTGGCAGCACCCACCCAAGTTAGTCAGTGGCAAGCACCACCTTCCCCCCAATGGAATGATCCTCAAGGGGAGCCAGCCCAGCCCTCAAGATGACAAAAGGCATTTTCCAAGACACCATGTTCCACAAAAGTTGGGTGCTGGGAGAAATGTGCTACCTTAAACCCCCTGAAAACTTTGCTCTTCAACTTTTCCAATATGTTCCTGGAGATACAACCATTATGGACTGAATTGCATTCCCCAAATGTTCACATGTTGAACTCTTAACCCCAGTGCCTCAAAACTGTATTTAGAGATACAGTCTTTGAAGAGACAAGTCAGTTCAAATGAGATCATTAGGGCGGACCTTAATCCAATATGATGGATGTCCTTACAAAAGAAGAAGAAATTTGGAAAGACACTCACAGAGGAAAGAGCAAGTAAAGACACAAAAAGAAGACTGTTATCTACAATTTGAGAAAAGGGGCATTGGAAGAAACTAACCCTACCAACACCTTGATCTTGGACTTCTGGTCTCCAGAATTGTGATACAATGAATCTGTTGTTTAAACCACACCTGGCTGACTATCCAACAATGTCATAGACTCAGTGCTTCCCAGGGTATGCACAAACCAAGCTCCAAATGGACTCTGACTTAGGGAACTTATGGTTTATTTGGAGAGACAAAGTCAAGTGTGACAAGAATCCCTGTGAGGAAGGTGAACCCAGGAAGCTGGGAGAGTCAAGGAGGGGCGTATTCTCCAACCTGGTGGGGGGCCTGAGGAGTCACCCAGTGTGGATGGCACTTGTACTGAGTCTCATGGACCCTCAGTTGTGGTCCCTGCATTAAAGCCTTTTTCTTTATCTTCCATCAAATGATTGGAATTTGATTTTTTCCCTTTTGATATTAACCTAGAAAATGACTGTTCCAACACATGACCTCCTTATGTTCATAAAAGAGAAACTACTTACAGAGGTCTTGGCCCAGTAAAGATAATGTTCAAAATATGAAATGATGATAGCCGAGAACACTTTACTTTCCTGGAAAAAAATCGAAGAGTAGAAAAAGTGTTAGGATGAACTACTGAGTCACGTAGTTATGGTCACATATCTATTTATTGGCATACTAATTTATTTATTCATTTATTTTTACATCTTCTTTGGCCCCAGCCAGTTTGTCCCAGTGATTAGAGTGTCAGTCCTCAGCCAGTTGAGGACATGTAACTGGGTTACAGACTCAATCCCTGGTCCTGGTTGGTGAGTTTGCAGGAGGCAACAAATCAATGTGTCTCTCTCACATCAATGTTTCTCTCTGTGTGTGTCTCCCCATCCCTTCTACTCTCTCTAAAAAAAATCAATGCAAAAATATCCTTGGGTGAGAATTAAAAAAAAAAAAATAGAAGAAAAAAGAAAAGAGAGAAAAACTGTTTTTTTAAAAAGTCTTACTTGCATAATAATAGATGGAAGATTGTTTGTGATGAATTGCTGAGTAGAATCCAAAGAGTCAACAATCTTGGTCACTTTCACCTGGAAAACACAACAGCCGACATGGTATCAAGTGATAAAAGGGTTTCATCAGACAGTTTGAGTATCGATGTAAGTGCTATTAATTCAATCCCACACCACCACAGCTTATAAAGCAAAGAGACCATACAACCAGCTCAAGGACACAGCTATGTAACAAGCATTTCCTTTGAGCCAGATACTGGGCTGGGTCCTTTATCTGAATCACATCACTGAATACTCACAAGCCGAAAGGAAGGTATTGCTGTGCCCCCTTCACAGGCCAGGGGCCTGACTCTACCGAGTCAATAAGCCAGGAAGCCTAAGACCTGGAATTTGAACTTTCACTCCAAAGTCCACATGTTTTGCACGGTCACACAAAGTAGAACAAGAACACTGCCCACCCACGGGGCAGCTTGCAAATTAGGGTGCCCAGAGACCTCAGAGCACACAAGCCTAGCCAGTGAGTCAAAGGCTGATCTCTGCGCTCACTCGCCCCTTTTGAAAGGCAGTGCATAGTTGCATGTTGTTACCCTAAATTCTGAGGTGTGTTGGGGTGGCACATGAAGCCACCAGCCTGTCTCAGATTCCCTTGGCATGGGACATACACTTAGGAAATGGCAACCATGACTGAAGGTACAGGGATGGTCCAGAGCAGAGTAAATCTAATAGTCTTCAGAGGAACTAAGTCAGATCTTGGTACATCAACAAAGAGGCAGGCTCAGTTAGGCCCAGGGAGAAGCCCAAGGGCCATCAAAGGAGCTCACAGTGTACTGGAGCAGTGGGCTGGGCAGGTGAGACTCAGTCAGACACCTTCCTGTGAGGAAGGTAGATGTGTGGAACTCTGAGGAGAGCCCAGGAAAGGACGTGGAGTTTTCTGTGGCAGGGTTGACCTTCAAAACTTTCAGGGCAGCCACTGCATTCAATGAGAAGTATTCCTGAGCCGCCGGTTGACATTGTAGCTACAGCTGAATGCAACACAGCCCAGGAGCTCAGTTTCTGTTGTGGGAATGTTTCCAGCTCAGAGAGCCCCTGTAGCAAACTGATTAGCTGGTAGTGATGACTGGCACCTTCTCAGGCACAGCTGCCTGGTGATGGTGGCCTTGTTCATGGGGCATGCTTTGGCCAATGGACGTAGAGGAAGTGGCCATGTGCAGGTTTTAAGAAATGGCTTAAAGGGCAACCTGTGTTCCCATTCATCCTCTAAATTTCTGTTCTGCACTCGGAGAACATGAAGTGATCCAGTCAGAAACTGCTCCTCCAGGCTGGTTTCTAGGGAGGACAATATATGGAGAAGCCTATAGTACACCCAACAATGAAAGTCTGTGGTCAGAAGGCACAGAGATCTGGGGGCTGTTTGTTAGGCAGCATTATCTTGGTGAAAGTGACTGGTGCATCTTCTACATCTGCATCCTATACATCAAAAGCACAGCTTTCCCATGGGCCTAACCACGTGCCAAGATGAGGTCTGTACTGATAGAAGCAGTTACTGAAAAAAAAAAAATTATGGTAGGAAAACCCAGTTTGGCATTTAAAATAAGTGAATCGTTGAGACTTTTAAAAAATGTAAAGCACCTGCAAAACCAACATCTCTAAAAGTCTGTATGTGCTTTATAATAAGACCCATGACTGAAAAAGAAAACACATCCTTACCTTCAATCCATTGGTTTTTTGTTGAAGCTTCTGGAAGTTCATGTGTAGTTCTCTCTGGTAAATAAAGAGGCAACGATTTCCAGCTTATGACATGAAGCAGCAAGATCACATACTTTGTGTCCTCTCCTCCCCCCCAACTTGGCCATCAAATCCAACTTTACTCTGAAATGGGTGTACAAACACCAACCTCCAGTAATGGTGTATACTGCAGACACCTCTAGTGTTGGAAAACTGGGAAATCAGGATGCATATTCTAGAGCCGCGAAGGGCAGCACATCGCATCGCATATGAGGCCGTTATTTAAAAGTAAAGCTGCCCAACGAGAGAGGCTTAATGTGTATGGTTTAAAGCAGGAACTGGCAAATGTTATCAGTGTGAGGCCAGACAGTAGAGTTGAGGTTTTGCGGGCCATGCCCTGTTCCAACCACTCTACTCTGCTCTTACAGCCAAGAGCAGCCACAGGCCATCTGTGAGTAAGTTAGCACAGCTGAGTCCCAGTAAAGCTTTATTTGTAAAAGTGGGCAGCGGGCCAGCTTTCTCCCATAGACTGTGGTTTCCAGGGCCAGAGTTAGCTAACCTCTGGTTTATACTGTGGGTCATGCGAACAGAACAACTTGCCTATTTGTAGAAAGATTGCTCCAGCTCTGAAAAGACCATGCAGCCCTGAGTCTACTTGAAGGAAGGCATTTAAGGAAGGCATTAAAGCTGCAAAACCCAGCTTTTAATGTGAACAACTTTGGCTCAGCCAGTGTGGCTCAGTGGTTGAGTATCGACCTATGAACCAGGAGGTCATGGTTCGATTCCTGATCAGGGCACATGCCTAGGTTGTGTGCTTAGTCCCCAGGGTGGGGCATGCAGGAGGCAGCCAATCAATGATTCTCCTCATCATTGATGTTTCTATCTCTCACTCTCTATCTCCCTTCTTCTCAGAAATCCTAATATATAAAAATCCTGAAAGTCAATCCTGCAGTCAGAGCTGCAAGCATGGTGCCCCAAAACTGACTGCTGAAGGGGCTGTGAATCAGAGCCAGAGAGACCTGAAGAGAGAAGCAGGGACTAATCCATTGCCTCTGTGGCAGCCTTTGATCAGGACTTGCCTCTCTTTCTCTCCCAGACTGGCCAGCAGCCGTGCCTCCAACTGGGGCTGTTGATCAGTCCCACCTTTCTGATCAGACCCTGTTGATAGGTTCAGAGATGCTGACTGGCATAGAAACTTACTAATCAGAACCAAATCTAGGGGAAGTGTGAGGAACCAATGGCTGCCTAAGAGGCGGAGCTTTTGATGCTGACTGGCATGGAAACCAACCAATCAGAACCAAATTGGCTGGCGGAGGAAGGCAGTTAGAGGCAAGATCAGGCCTGCAGGGGAGAGTAGATGGGGGTAAGATCAGTCTGGCAGACAGAGGCAGTTAGGGACAATCAGGCAGGCAGGCAGAGGCAGTTAGGGTGATCAGGCAGGCAGGCAGGCAGGCAGAGGGGTTAGGAGCTTAGGGGCAATTAGGCAGACAGGCAGAGGCAGTTAGGGGAAATCAGGAAGGCAGGTGGGTGAGCCAGGGGTTCCAGATTGCAAGAGGGATGTCTGACTGCCGGCAGTTGGACATCCCCCAAAGGATCCCCAATTAAAGAGGGTGCAGGCTGGGCTGAGGGGACCCCCCCTCCCTACACAAATTTCATGCACTGGGCCACAATATATACATAGATGTGAACAAATTTGTGCTGGGCATAAACAAGTATGGCAGAAAATTGTGGAGAGCACAGCACAAATATTAAGAAAATTCAATAAGAGGACTTTGGAGATATGTTAATGAAGTAGAAAGCTAGAAGAAAAAAAGAGAGAGAGATGATAAAAACTAGTTCTAGCAGCTTCTGAAGTTGAGGTTAAGTGAGCTCCTATGTTTCTCCAAAGAGCTCAGCTTCTTAGCCCGAGGCCAACCAAATTTGACCCTTGTGATGTGCACACATGTCCTCAGGCCACAGGAAAGCTGGCCAGTGAAATGGGCCGTCGTCAGTTTGCAGGGAGATGCCAGAGCTATTACCAGTTCCGGTTCCAAAGGCAGGACCTGGGTAAGGTGAATGGTTCTGAGCTTGTTTGCATTAAATTCCAGGGACGATTTTAATTCTCCAGGGGGCTACAGAGAGAAGAAATAAACACAGACCAACCATGTTTTTCCAGATGGCGGAGACCTTGAATGCCCAGCCCTTGTGCCGTGGTGGTATCTGTGGGCCTGGGGGCTGACAGGAAGGGACTCAAGAGCTGTGAACTTTAACCCACATTCATTAGCCATCTTGGGCACCCTGGGCTATATTCTCGCTTTCCCACCTCCCAAAACAGAGCTAGAAGTCACCGTGTCCCCATTTTGCAATGAGAAAACCAACACTTGCCTGAGCCCATAGTCTTGAACTCACACTGCAGTAGGGTTTCTTGTGTGAAGGGTAACAGGTGAGGTTAGAGCACAGATGGGGAGATGTCTTGCCCAGGGTCCCACAGTTAAGAAAGTGGCTGAGTCAGGATACCATCCTGGTCTTCCTCCAGACCCCAGATGTGCACCTCCCCGCCCTCCCCCCATGCTCTACTGCTTCTTGAAAGGGACCATTTTGTCACCAGCTAGCAGAGCAGCCAATGTAGAGGATGCTGCTGAAGAAGGCTCAGATGGGGTCTTTGCCTTCCCTTCCCTCAGCCACTTCTTCTGTTTTCTTTTTTTTTTTTTTTTAATATGTATTTTTATTGACTTCAGAACGGAAGGGAGAGAGAGAAAACAATAGAAACATCAATGAGAGAGAATCATTGATTGGCTGCCTCCTGTATACCCCACACTGGGGATTGAGTCCAAAACACCAGCATGTGTCCCGACCAGGGATTGAACCGTGACCTCCTGGTTCATAGGTCAACACTCAACCCCTGAATCATGCTGGCTGGGCCACTCAGCCATGTCTTATTGGTGATATGGAGGATCATACAGAATCCCCCCCCCTCACCCCCGTGTCCTCAGTTACTATCCCCTGCGCTGCATGGGACACATATGTACATGGGTTTGGCAGAAGAGGGGTTGCTGAGGAAAGAACAGAGCCAGTGATAAAGCCATTATGGGCACCAGCACCAAGCACAGGGTTCAGAAAGAGCTGTGTGTACCCTGAGGCCACCCTGGCAGCCTTCCCACGCTCACAGACTTTCAGGCCACATGGCTGTGGCTGCTGATGGGAACGTGGAGAAGTGCTTGTCAAGAAGGGATTATCTGTTGGGCTAGTGTGCTCAGTGGTTGAGAGTTGACCTATGAACCAGGAGGTCATGGTTTGATTCCCAGTAAGGGCACATGCCCAGGTTTCGGGCTTGATCCCCAGTGTGGGATATGCAGGAAGCAGCCGATCAATGATTCTGAGTCTCTCATCGTTGATGTTTTTCTCTTTCTTTTCTCTCCCTTCCTTTCTGAAATAAATTTATATATATATATATATATATATATATATATATATATATATATATATATATATATATTAAAGAAGGGGTTCCTTGTGGTGTGAGGAACCCCTTCAGTAACTCCCCTGACAGCCATGTTGGCAATGAACATCAACAGAGATTTCAAAATTTAACCGGGCCTTTGGGACTCACCAACTTGTTAGTTTGTGCTGTTAAATCAGTTGCATATGTTAAGAGATCCACTTTGGTTACCAATTTAGCTGTCTGAAAAAAAAAAAAAAGATTAAAAAGAACTGTGTCATGACTATGGGATTTTTAAATCTTAATAATGTCTAACAGGCAACAGGTGGGACATGGTCCATAAAGTTGGGCAGACACTCATGCATAGCATCCGCATTCGTCTTTAGACACATGCCACCATATGGAGAACTGAAGTATGATTGGCACGTGCTGTCATACAGATGAACCTCAAAAACGATGGGCTCCGTGAAGGGGCCAGTGAAGGCCATTAAACACAAAGGTCACCTCCTGCATGACCCCATTCATATCAAATACCCAGGACTGGTAGGTGCACAGAAACGGAGCACAGGTTGGTGGCAACCAAGGGCGGGGAGGGGCGGGTGAGGAGCAGTTGCTGAAGGAACACAGGGATCTGTTGTGGGCGATGGAAGTGTCCTTGTGCTGGAGGAGGAGGGGGCTTGTGTCCTAGTGAGATTATCCTGAACACTAGCGAAATGCTCACTTAAAAATAGAATTGCTTTTCTATTACGTGAGTTTCATCTTAATAAAAAAATGAATCAAGACAGACTAAAAAAGACTTGTGTTCTGATTTCCCCCCAAAGACCAATTTCGGACACATGGGTCATACCTCAGCCAAGTAATTGTCATAATTGATTTGCTCCACTCCCGAGTCACTGAAATCCAGAAGGTTTTTTCTTCCTTCTTTGCTTAGCAAGACAATGTCAAGGTTCAGCTTTATCTTTTTAAATTCAGCGTTCAGGTGTCTGATGTGCTGTGCAATAAGAAGTCATAAGTAAGTCCATCTTTCTCTGAAAAAGTCACAGAGGAGGAATAAAATGACACCAGACAGCCCTGGCTGGTGTGGCTCAGTTGTTTGGGCATCATCCCATTAGCACCCAAAGGTTTCTGGTTTGATTCCCCATCAGAGCACATGCCCAGGTTTTGGGCTCCACCCCCCACGGGGGGCATGCAGGAGGCAGTGATTGTTATTTCTCTCCTTCTCCCTTCCTCTTTCTCAAAAAAATCTTTTTTTTTTTTAATTACATGGGCCCTACCAGCATGGTTCAGTGGTTGAGTGTTGACCTATAGACCAGAAGGTCACAGTTTGATTCCCGGTCAGGGTACATGCCCCGGTTGCAGCCCGATCCCCAGCAGGGGGTGTGCAGGAGGCAGCCATCAATGATTCTCTCTCATCATTGATGTGATATTAATAAAAATACATTTAGAAAAATAATTACACAGGACCAAAAAAAAATACAGACACTTGTCTGGCATTTCTTCTTGACTCTTTCCTTCCCTCCCACCTCCTTCCTGCTTCTTTCCTTATGCACCATGCAGAGTGCTATGTGAGGGAGGTTGGGGTGCAAAGCAAAATAATATCACCTTTAGTTTCAAGGACCTCAAAGGGCAGAGGCAGTATCATAATAAATGCACAGGACTTGCACCAGGACACCAGGGGTAAGGGACAGCCTTCCAGGAGAGAAGGCTGGGAGGGTAAAACAGAAGAGGTGGCTTCTGAGCGAGTCTTAACGAAAGAGATGCTGAAAGAGGGTGGGCAAGCTGCGTCTGGGTCAGGAGGCACAGGCACTGGCCTCAGGCGGTCGGGGAACATGCATTTTTGGGAACAGGGAGGGTGGCCTGGGTTTGTCCTAAGAGCCAGACAATAGAGCCAGACAATCCTGGGCCCTCCCCACCCAACACTGCTCACCCTGGCACACAGAGAGAACAGCTGATGGCAGGCATGATGGGAAAATGTGTGGAGGGCATTTATTTTGGGCTTGGTTACAAAATTACATTTTTATTTATGTATACAGGCAAGGTATATTTAGGGAAGATAATCAATACATGGTGTGTATACTGTATCCCCCTTTTTAAAATTTATGTCTTGTAAGTCTTCACCCAAGGATATTTAGAGAGAGAAGAAGGAAGAAAAAGAGAGAGAGGGAGAGAGACACACACACATATTGGTTGACACACACACACACACACACACACACACACACACACACACACACGGGCTGACACTCTAACCACTGAGAAACACCCACCAAGGTTACTAGTATTCTGCTTTCAAATAAATTCCTCACATAGGAAAACTGTCAGGTCATCAAGACAACATGGAGCTACTGGGGGCCTTTTGTGACCCCTCGGTGGACATGCTGTAGGATTTGGGGAACAATATCGGCCCAGGTACCCCTTGTATCTGATTTGGAGGTTCAGAGGAGAGAAGGCCCCTTAGATTCTCTCACAGCTGAGAAGGCCAGAGGCCCTGGAGGTGTAGGGGCGTGGGCACCCTGGGCCTGGACAGCTGAAACTCTCTCTCTCCCTCTGCTGGTCAGAAAGGGCCATTTCATCTTGTCCCCCTTCCGTCCCTGCTCCCACGCTGTCCCAGGCCCAGGGCCAGCAGAGCTTAGGCAGAAAATGGTGGCCAGTCTTACAGAGTCAATCTCCCTGCGAAGCAAAAGGGGCTTGCTCCTCTCGGAACACTGACCCTCAGGGAGACAGAATTTTTCCCTCGGAGGCCCCCTTAAGGGACAATCAACTGGAGGTACTCATGCCCCAAGAAAGATGCAGATTGGGTGGGGGTGGGGTTGGGGTGGGGGAATGTGTTTTGGAATTAGACAGAGGGTAGGGTTGCACAACCTTCTGAAAACGTACGAAGTGTCCCTCTAAAGTGGTTGATTTTCTATGAATTTCACCCCCATTTGAAACAGCAAAGACAACAGGATTGGGGAAATGTCCTGGCTGGTTCTGAGTGTGTACCTCCTCGATGTTAAGACGCTCACTGACATTGTAGATGTGCTCCAGCTGCAGGGCGGTGTAGAAGCCCTCGTTGTCTTTGCAGTCCCTGTGGGGATAAGCAGAGAGGTAGCTGTGGCTCCCTCTGTCCACTGCCGGGGGGAAGAGAGAGGGTAACAGTCTCTGTTGAATCTGTGAACAAAGTGGCCACTGGGGGTCCACACAGCAGGCCATCATCAGCAATGGCCTGAACCCCTGTGGTGCCCACCTTTCCTGACTTCGTTCCCCACTTTACAAAATGTCCCATTGGAAACACATTCTGTAGGATCGGTAAATATGTTCTCTGTCTGTCTCCTTTGTGTTCTTTCCAGATCTGTGCGTAATAACACATTTATACATCAGGAAGAAATAAATTCTCATTTAAAAAAACCCAGCTGGTATGGTTCAGTGGTTGAGTGCCAACCTATAAACTAGGAGGTCAGGGTTTGATTCCCGGTCAGGGAAGGTACCCAGGTTGGGGGCTCGATCCCCAGTGAAGGGCGTGCAAGAGGCAGCTTATCAATGATTCTCATCATTGATGTTTCTCTCTCTCCCACTCCCTTCCTCTCTGAAATCAATAAAAACATTAAAAACTTAATTTAACAAAAAACAAAACAACACTTGCTATAAGTAGGTATTACAAGGCATATCTTTATTAAATGGTTCTGGTGAACCTCTGCTAGGCCATCTCTCTCTGTATCCCCAGGAATTAGCTTTACCCACTGCACACCTGGTTGGAGGCATATTCTAATGGCAGGATGGAGACACCCAGGGGGCTACCGACATCTCAGGATCCTTTGGTGGAAACCTGACTTGGCCTCACCTCTCTGTGCTTCCTTAAAATGGAAAATCACCTCCACTGAGCCTCATCTGATACATATTTCTTCCACCCACACAGCCACTTCCTGAAGGCATGTCCTCCCTGTGCTGCAGCCAGAGTCCTCTAGCTCTGAGAGGTGCTGGAGAAGCAACACTCTACATTCCTAAGAGGTGTGGTAGTCCTCCTCAGGGAACCCCAAGTAGGCTGGTGCTGCTGGAGCAGGGAGCTTGATGTACTAACAGAAGGAAGACTAGAGTTCTGCAGGAGCCAGAATCACAAAGAACATGGTCTTGACCTCTCCGCATAGGGATGGTTTAATCGTGCACAGAAACACCAATGGATTGATAATGTCTGCCTAGAACATGCTGTTGAGGAAACTCCTGAGGGATCTCTGGGCTGAGTAGAACACAGTTGATTAGCAATGTCTGCCAGAGGGGCAACGTGCATGGATGGTGGACACATGTGCCACTCATCTGCTGTCTCTGCTAGAGGAGCTGAGAGACAGTGAAATGCCATTCCTGTTGCATGGCGAGGAAGTGCACTGTCCAAGGTCACAGAGGCCCGCTGGCAGCCAGGACTGGAGCCCAGGCAGCCTCCAATGCACAGCCTGGCCCTTGAGCTGCATCACCATTCATCTGTGGTTTGGACCCATCCGCTGACTTTGTGTTACGTGGCATTTATTTGGGGCAGGGTGGTCCTTGAACAAGAGTTTTCACAGGGTCCTACTATGCATTTTCAAGTCACCTTCACCAGTGTGTCCTAGTAATCCCTAGATAGGGGGACCTTAAAGCACCATTCCAAGGTCTAGAAGGTTCTAAGGGAAGGATCATCTTCTTGGTCTTATTTCTATTATTTCTTTGGTAAGACTAGAGAACAGCTTAATTCTGAAACTGGCCAAGTCTGATCATTAAGGTTAAAGACACTTTGAAAATAACATTCTCATTCTGGAAAGAAAACAAGATTTGCAAAAAACAAAAAAACAAAAACAAAACAAAACAACAACAACACATTATATAATTACTTATACCTGTAAACTTGTTCAAAACTGAGACTAATATCCGGTTTGTTAAGTATCAAGCCAGAGAGATAGTATTTCCAATTTTCATTTATTAAATATGGTGTGTCCACGATCTAGAACAAATTTTAAAACTTTTTTAAAAGGCAGTTTTATACTAACATACATACCTATAATAAAAACAATATTAAGTTAAGTGTATTTTAGGGATTTTCATGTCATGATGCTCCTCATTGATGTCCAATTTAAAACTAGAAAACAACAGTATGGTTGGTATAAATCAAACCACCACTGGGTAGCATCAACAGAAAGTATTGAAATTATTTTGGGGAACACTAATGAACACATTAGAAATGACAAGAAGAACAGACCATTTTATTCAGAGTAGTAGATAACAAAAGCCACAAAGTGGTTGACCCAACTCCTCACTATTTCTCTGTAGACAAAATGAATTAACACTCACACATCTCTGACTTCACCTCACATATAGTTAACCTGGGCTAATTCATGCACGGCTGTTTATGTGTTTGAGGAGTGGAAATGGTTTAGAAACATTCCCTACTTCTTAAGAATTATTTTTAATGATTTAACACAATATGGGAGATAATAAAGTTTGGTTTGATGTGTTGTTACTATTTTTTTTTTATCACGAGTTCATGTGAGGATAATATGACAAATCAATGCTCTCAATTTAGTTTTTCTCAACCAACCAAATTATAAAAATACCATGACACCAACTCATTCGTTTAATAGCCATTCACCTGATTTTATGACAGATCCTGATTTGGAAAATATATACTGTAAAACCGGGAATCATAAATGTGTTTTAAAAAATCAGAATCTGGAGAAAAACACTGGAGAGCCAAACTTAGAGGGCAAACATGAAAATCCAAGTGTCCTTCTAATTAAATGAAGCTAGATGTGAAATGGCCCTCTAGACTGTGTGCAGAAGTTGGGTTTGAGGGAGAAAATGAGGCTTGAGATCCATTTCTAACTGCCCCGTCATATTTCTGCCAAGAACAAACTATCTTGCCAGGAGGCATAGAATTTATCATCCCCTTCGCTTCAAATATATGGTCTCAAACCATCTATGTGGGCAATTGTCATCTGGGAAATTCTTTAAATGTCAGAAACTTCTTGGGTTATGGAGGCACCCAGGGATTTATCTTCTGATGTTTCCGGCCGCATTTGGGAACTTCTGCTGAGCAAAATTTTCTTCTCCCTATCTACTAACATCCCCATTGATATACATGCCTTAATTCCTGGTACTGATTTCACTTACAAAATAATAAAATAATAATAATAATAATAATAATTAATAATAATAACAGCATAATGTTTTTGCTCTAATAAATAGGAAAAATCTCAACTTTTTGAATAAAAACCAAACTGCTCATGTTTTTTTGCATTACTCTTGAGGAAAACCAAAGTTTTGGCTCAAGCTCTGCCCTAATGGTCACACAAACTGCATTTACCTGGAATAACTCCATGTTTTGGTAAGGTTCACAGACCAATTCTTTCACATTTGCACCAATGACAAAAGTAAGAGTCACAAAGAGCATCAATATCCAAGAAACAAAGAAACTAACTCCAACCCCACTGCGAAGAAATAGAAATAAAGTTAAGAATTCTATAAGGAATTATTCAATATTCAATATTACCTATCAGTAATTACTGACTCTATACTCAGTGTAGAAGAGGAACCTGCATCTTTAGCTGTTTGCAGGTCAAACGAGTCAGCTTACCCAGGAGTGAAGACAGAAAGTGGTCAGCACCGTGGTCTTTCAGTCCTGGGCACCTATGTACTTATGGAACCCTTAAGGCTTACTCCTGGTCCACTTGCAGCCAGTACCATGGTTCAGACATGGGCTCTGAGTTACTTGAGTGAACCAAGACCTTCTGCAGAGGACACTGTGAGTGGGGAGGTTCTGAGGCAGGAAATGTGCCCTTGGGAGTCTGAATGGGGCTAACATGGCTCTGCATCCAGAGCACAGAGTGCAGCGAATGGCAACTTGAGAGGCAGGTAGGGGTGTACTGGAAAGGGGCTGCTAGACCCAGGGAAGGGAAGATACTGAGGGGCTTTACATTCAAGAGAAACACAATGCAACTTCTCTCTGAAGAAGAATACTCTTGACAGAGCATGACGTTTCCGGAGTTTCAAAGGGAACAAGCTAGATGACCATATAGATCAGTATCTGATAGCAGGTCAATCTTTAACAAGTATCTGGTGAACATATAAATGGATGGATGGATGGATGGATGGATGGATGGATGGATGGATGGATGGATGGAATAAATGGATGGATGGATGGAATAAATGGATGGATGGATGGGTGGATGGACGGATAGATGGATGGATGGAATAAATGGATGGGTGGATGGGTGGGTGGATGGATGGATGGATGGAATAAATGGATGGGTGGATGGGTGGATGGGTGGATGGATCGATGGATGGATGGATGGATGGATGGATGGATGGATGGAATAAATGGATGGATGGATGAGTGGATGGATAGATGGATGGATGGATGGATGGATGGATGGATGGATGGATGGATGGATGGATGGATGGAATACATGGATGGATGAATGGGTGGATGGATGGCTAAATAGATGGGTGGATGGATGAATATGAATATAGGGGGGGAAATGGAAATAAAGAAAGCAAACTTAGATATAATTTTCATAATAGCTGCTTTAAAAAGGAGCCCACCATAAACATTTTGTTTCAGCTTATCTATGAATGTGCAACTATTTTAGAATTTTCTTTGATTTTTTTACTCTTGATGAAATTTCCCAAATCAATAAAAGTATAATCAACCAACACACTGATGGAATACAGTGCTCAGTCCAGAGGGCCACCATGGATACCTACTCTCCTCCGAGTTTCCACCCCTCCAGCGGCAAGGAAGAGCAAACACTCACACCATGAGGAAGATGCCTCCAGTGTTTGAGACGCAGCCTCGTGTGATTGGGGTGGCATTCGGGTGATAGCCAACAATGCCACACAACATGCCCAGGAAATAAAAAATTATGATGAGAACCAGGAAAAAGCAGGCAATCAAGCAACTCAGCCACCTGGAGAAACAAGCACAATGCTATTATACATAAAGAGGTGACATCATCATAACACAAAAGCTGCCATACTGGGGCAGACACAACTGAGTATAATACTTGGCAATGACATATCGGAAGCCCTTGCTAATTCCTCAGAAGGTGATGAGAAATGATGCCTTCCCACCGCTAGTTTTCCAACCCAACCAATAAGAAACCTTAATTTTTATCTTGGCTTTGAAGCATTCTCGCTCCACGGTCATAGGATTATTTTCTTCCTTTGTTTCACTTCTGTGGAGCTCATAAGCAGGGTTTGCTCAACTTCTCCTGGGCTACGGGTAACAATGAGCCTGAAGACTTTTATGTTCTTTCAAGATTCCTAAGCCTGGATGTGCTTATTAGAAAAATGAGGAGGTATAAACAGAGCAAGATTAGTCAACAGACAAAGAAATATTGAGCTCTTTTCCCAGGTATTTCTCTAAAATATTTTGTGACTGTATGAATGTTTAGTAGGCATTATGCTCTCCACAGAACCAGAAATTCTCCCCACAGTAAGTATATTTTAGAATTTTACAAGCATCCTAAATCAAATGCCTGCAGAATGCAAATATTAATTTTGTAATGGTCCCGTGTGACATTTGAGGATAATGGATCCTCAATAAGCTTTCCTGGCAGTCCTAGAGTGTACACTAAGCTTTTCCGGCAGCTGAGGGTAAAAATACTTTTTAGTCTTTAAAACACTAAAAAAGAATTTACTTGTGAGTCAAAAGCCTGCTACTAAAGCTTTTCATCCAATTAAAAGCAATCTTGGTAATTATAATAATAGCCGCCTGCATCCCTTCTATGGCATTTGTTCCAGATCTTAGGGGACACATAATTCAATAAGCCATGGAATGTGGCCTCAGAAATCCTTTCCCTTTAATGCACGCTTCATTGGCTTAGTTAAATTTCTTTTAAATATAAGCTGATGGTCTCCTGGCAGAGGGAGCTGATAGGTGGGCAGATAACTGTACCCATCTTTCCATTTGTGAAACTTTAATGAGATTGTAAGTTCACTGAGAAAGGGTCTGTCTTATGTTTTCCCTGATACCCACTGGGGTGGCCTGGCACCACGGTAGGAAAATGGTCTGTGGATTATAAGGCAATAATGAAGAGATAGTCAGAGGGGGTTAAAAATGCATCTCTGACATGTTGTTGCTGCCTTGAATCACTGCATTCCCCTGAGCCTCAGTTTTCTACAAAGCAAGGCTATAAATAGAACACAACCCAGGGACCTTTGTGCATATTATACAAGAAATCACGTATCCGGTGCTTGGTGGGCATGCTGTAACCGTTCCCTAATGGCTAGTGAGTATTGTTATGATTTATCTTATGCTCTTGCATAACAAAAAAACCAAATAGGAATGAATGTCTTCGGAGTGACCTTGGGTTTGGGCAGTGAGAACACTTCCAGTGGTGGGTCATGGGACTGAGCCTTTCAGAGGGGGAGGTGTTTCTCAACAGCTCACCTGATCCTCTGAATCCCTCAAGTCACCAAGTCCTTCCCTCCTGGCCCTTGGTCTGATAGATATTCTGTCCACATCTCCCAGGGCCAAACCCTAGGGCTAGCATTTTCTAATGGGGCAAACAGCTGCTTATCTGAGCTCTTAAACAACTGACTGGGTTCAGGGATGCATTTTCTGCAAGCATTGACCTTTCCATATTTATTTTATGAACCAACAATGGAAAGAATATTACTCAAAATGTCCTTGTCTTTCTTAATTAAAGTTTTAAAATCCTGGTACATGCCTCATATAATTATAACTACTATTCCAGAAGTCACTAATGACATCAAAAGTGCAGCTTATTAAAAATGTGGCTCAAGAACTTCAAGTCTTCAAGTTAAATAAAATATGGAATGCATCCTGAACTTGCAGGTCATCTCTGTATTGATATGCTCATGTTCTTAATGTAGTTTCAATTATATTTTATTTTTTATTTCCACAATAAATTTACTTATAAGGTTTTATGATCTGTGATTTTTTTCTTTTTTTAAATCCTCACCCAAGGATATTTTTCCATTGATTTTTTTTTTTTGAGAGAGAGACAGTAGAAGGGAAGGAGAAATGGGAGAGAGAGAGAGAGAGAAAGAGAGAGAGAGAGAGAGAGAGAGAGAAACATCGATGTGAGAGAGACACATCAATTGGTTGCCTCATGCAAACTCCCTGACCAGGGCCAGGGATCGAGCCTGGAATCAAGGTATGTGCCCTTGACTGGGAATCAAACCCAACATCCTTTAGTTCTAGGGCTGATGCTCTAACCACTGAGCAAAACTGAGCAAGGCTGTGATTTTTTTCAATTACAGTTTACATTCAATATTATTCTGTATCAAGGGGTCCAAAATGGCGGCATAGGTAAACACCTGAACTTGCTGCCTCACACAACCACATCAAAACTACAACTAAAAGACAAAACTGATATCATCTAGAACCATGGGAAGGCTGGTTGAGTGAAAGTTATACAACTAGAAGGAAAGTGAAAAGTGCACTGAGACTAGGAGGAGTTGCAGAGGTGCAGAGGTATAGGTTCAGGTGCGGAAACGTGATGGCAACTGGGTACGCTGTTGTATTTTTCAATCTGGAGGGAGATACAAGCTCCAGATTCTCTGAACTCCAGTTCCGGATGAGACTCTGAGGACTCATACGGGGAGAAACTGGACTGTCTGGCATCGGGCCGGAACATGAGGGCAGCTTTCTCTCAAGGTGCTTGCAGTGATCATTGTTCCTGCATGGTGCCACGGGACACCGAGACCCAAGGAATTCTTTGGGGTAGGGATGATGGATAGCTGTTGCTATTTGCTCTGCCCTGGTTATTCCCTGATACCTCACCCCACCCAATTTACACCACTCCCCAAGCTGTGTGCAGAAGCTTTTGCATATGAATGGCCTGGCCTTTTACAATCTAAAACCTAACAAACTGAAGCTGGGTCAGAGAGCCCCAGAGCTTCCAAAAGAAGGCCCAAGGCTTAACAGCAACTTGAATTGCTTTATAGCTGGGTCTCACCTGGGTACCTCCAAACACCAAACAAAGAGGAGGAATCTACAGATCTCTCTGTAGCTCCTGCTGGGTGCCCTTAGGCAGTGGCTAACTTTGCACCTCCTTGGAGATCCAAGAGCCAGTGTACCCAGTGATCAGAGTGAGACCATCCAGATTACAACTCTTCATATGCACAAGAGTCACACTCAGGGGGCAGACTCAGTGAGCACCAAAGCCCCACTGAAGCAAGTCCTGCCCCGTAAGGATGTCTCCAGCAGAGAAGTTCTCCCACTGTAGACACAACTGGTCCTCTCAGCCAATTGGCCTGGAGGTCAATTTCTCCCAATGATATTAACAACAATCAAGGCTCAACTACAACAAGACTGTGCACACAGCCCACAAAGGGGTGCACCAAGAGTATCCACCTCAGGTAACTGGGAGGCTGAGCCACTGGGCCCTATAGGATGCCTAGCATACAAAACCACTCTATCAACATAGGGAAGCAGCCAAAATGCGGAGACAAAGAAACAGAACACAAATGAAATAAATGGAGGAAAGCAAACTACAAGATATAGAGTTCAAAACCTTGGTTATAAGAATTACTCAAGAATCTTCTACAAACCTCTGAGAAATTTAGTGAGACCCTCAAGGATATGAAAAAGGACTACTTAGAAATTAAGCATACACTGACTGAAATATAGAATAATATACAGAGATACAACAGCAGACTAGAGAAATGTAAGAATCAAGTCAAATAGAAAGAAGCAAAAAACACTCAACTGGAAAAGCAAAAAGCAAAAAGATTCCAAAAATATGAAGATAGTGTAAGAAGTTTCTGGGACAACTTCAAGTGTCCAACTTCAGAATTATGGGGGTGCTAGAAGAAGAGAGAGCAAGATACTGAAAACGTATTTGAAGAAATAATGACAGAAAACTTCCCCTACCTGGTGAAAGAAATAGACTTACAAGTCCAGGAAGCACAGAGAACCCCAAACAAAAGGAATCCAAAGAGAATCACACCAATGCATATCATAATTAAAATGCCAAGAGCAAAAAACAAAGAGAGAATGTTAAAAGCAGCAAGAGAAAAACAGTTACCTACAAAGGAGCACCCATACAACTGTTAGCTGATTTCTCAACAGAAACTATGCAAGACCAGAAAGGAGTGGCAAGGAATATTCAAAGTGATGAATAGCAAGGAACTACAACCAAGATTATTCAGCAAAGGTATTATTTAGAATTGAAGGTCATAAAAAGAGCTTCACAGATAAGAAAAGGCTAAAGGAAACAGCAAGACACCCACGAAAAACACCATGGTGTCAATACAAGCCAGATGAAAATCATTTGGGCAAAAAATGAAAAAGTATCCTAGGTCAAATTTATAGAAAATATTCCTTTATTAACTTTTGGTCGAGAATATGTTTGTATATTTTCAAAAAAAAAAACAAAAAAAAAAAAACAAACAAAAACAAACCAACTCCGAGACCATGTGGATTCTGGCAACAGAGAGGAATTGACAGGACTACTCCAGCCATGAAGACAGAAGAGAAGCAGTCCAGAGATGGAAGACGCTGACAACACCTTGCCATAATAGCAGTTAGCAGCTGTGTGTCACTGCAGGTTGTCCAGGACCAAACCAGAGAGGCTCGGACCTGCATTACCACCATTTTTCCACCATCCAGGACTGAAATATCATTGCTGACATATAAACATAAGGAACTTTTTTGACATTGAAATTGGTTCTCAAAAGAACTGTTGGCCCAGAAAGAAACTCACTACAGACTGATTCATTTGCCTTTCAGCATAACTATTATTGCTTATCTCATTTTCGATTCTTATAAGTATATTTCCAGTAGGACATGATCTCACTCATCTAGGGGAAATGATGAACAACATAGACTGATGAACAAGAACGGACCCAGAGATAAGGAGCCATGGGTCAGACTGTTGGACCTCAAAGGGAGGGTGGGGATAAAAGGGAGAGATCAACCAAAGGACTTTTGTGCATACATATGAGCCTAACCAGTGGTCAAGGACAATAGGGGAGTGAGGACATGAGTAAGGAGGGGTAGGAATTGGAATAGGGATTGAGGACAAATATGTGATACCTTAATCAATAAAGAACTTTTTTAAAAAGAGAAAGGAAAAGAAGAAGAAGAAAAAAAAGCCAAAGGAGTTCATCACCGCCAAACTAGTCCTATATAAAATGCTTAAAGGTATTCCTTCAGAAGAGGAAAAAGAAAAAGGTAAAGATAAAAATTACGAACAAGGAAGTGACAACAAATACATATCTATCAACAAGTAAATCTAAAAATCAAGTCAATAAAAAATCTGACAAACAGCCAAAACCGGTTTGGCTCAGTGGTAGAGCGTCGGTCTGTGGACTGAAGGGTCCCAGGTTCGATTCCAGTCAGGGGCATGTACATTGGTTGTGGGCACATCCCTGGTAGGGGGTGTGCAGGAGGCAGCTGGTCGATGTTTGTTTCTCATCGATGTTTCCCTCTCATCAATGTTTCTAGCTCTCTATCTTTCTCCCTTCCTCTCTGTAAAAAATCAATAATATATATATATTTTTAAAAATCTGACAAACAATAAATTGGTGAATAGAACAGAATCAGGAGCATAGAAAGGGAGTGGACTGATAATTCTCAGGGGGAAAAGGTTTGGGGGGTTATGGAAGAGACTGGACAAAAATTGTATAATTATGGATAAGAACAGTGAATAATTATACAATTGTATAATTATTATATAATTATGGGTGGGTAAGGGCAGGAGATGGAGTGGGAATGGGGTAGAGGGGAGCTATGGGGGAAAAAGAGGAACAACTGTAATAATCTGAACAATAAAGATTTATTAAAAAAAAAAAAAAGTTTAGTTCCAGTGGCTAAGTAACTTGACAAAGGTATGTAGAAATGGCTCTCTCAAAGACCATTAATAGGAATTTGTCAGGAGACAATTAAAGGGGAACTGTTCATGCCATCTGACCCAGTATTTCCTCCCTTAGAAATGTATTCTATAGAAATAGTCCTACAAATTCATCACAAAAAAGATGCATATGCAAATATTCATTGCAGCAAGCCCAACAGCCACTAAAATGGATAAATCAGAACAACATGCAAATATGTGGGACAAATGCCCAAAATATATTCAGTTAAAGGAAGCAAGCAAAATATGTATATACTAGAGGCCCAGTGCATGAATTTGTGCATGGGTGGGATCCCTCTGGGTGTCCTGCAGGGATCAGTTCAATGCTGCTTGTAGTTCCTACATGCTGCTCCCGCTCATCCCAGCCCCACTGTGCCTACTGCAGGCTCACGCCCAATCAGGCCCCAATTGGGAGAGGCTTGTGCTGCCAGAGCAGTACTCTACAGCCATGAGCCCTACATCTGGTTCCCTGCCAAGGGGAATGGCCTGCAGGATCGAGCTGAAATCAACTCTCCAACATCCCCCCAAGGGTCCTGGATTGCGAGAGAGTGTAGGTCAGGCTGAGGGACCCCACCGGTGCATGATTGGGCCAGGGAAGGACCACGAGAGGGCTCCAGGGCATGTCTGGCCCATTTCATTCAGTCCGATCAGCCAGACCCCAGCATCAAGCTAACATATCAGTCGGAGCATCTGCCCCTGGTGGTCAGTGCATGTCATGCGACTGGTTGACCAGTTGACTATCTGGTGGTCAATGCATGTCATTGTGAGCAGTTGAGCAACCTTAGCATATCATTAGCATATTATGCTTTGATTGGTTGTTTGGTTGTTCTTGCTGTTTGATCTATTTGCATATTACTCTTTTATTATATAGGATTACCCTTTTATTATATAGGATGTATTATACTAATATCATTAGCATATATGTAGGAAAAAATGATAGAGGAATATACATAAAAAATCTCAACAGGGTGAAATTAAGGGGAACTTTTCCTATGTAGTTCACTATGTATTTCTATAATAAGTCTTGATTAATCTTATATCTGGAATTAAAAAAATAAAATTAAGGTATATAAAATATATTATTCTGTTTCTGTTTCAGATGTATAACATAGTGGTTAGACAATCATATACTTTACAGAGTGATCCCCCCAATGAAGGGATTAAGAAGTACAAATTGGCAGCTACAGTTTAGTCACAGAGATATAAATTACAGATAGGGAATATAGTCAATCATATTGTAATAACTATGTAAGGGACCAGAGGGTCCTTGAAATATCATATAATTTCCATTTTAGTGTATGCCCCAATGAAGTGAACAATTCAACTTTTCGAGTGAGCATCAACTAGGATGAATACATGGGGTTATGGTCTCTTTGTACAACTTGCTCTCATATGATTATCCTGGTTATAAGATCAAGTTTTACCTCATAGCAAGCTTCACACTCCTAGTTTACCAGCTCAACGGAGGCACTCACCTGTATGACTCATATTTTTCCACCCTAGGTATCTTGCTGTAGATGATACTTTCAAGGTTATCGATGTGATTCCAGAGAACGGACAGCTTTTCCTGAATGGGAACCTTTTGTTTTATCGTTACGATATTTAAACCAATGTCATTCAAGGTCCTTCTGAGAGCTGGAAACAAAAACACCTCAGTCATGCATTCCTAGAGGAAACAGAATCTCTGTTTGGGCACCAAAATGGAAACACTTGAACCATTTTCACTTTTTCCCATGTTATGTATGCACCTGAAGTATGAAAAGTTCTGTACGAAGCCGGAATGTAGCCAACACCGTCAAAAAGCAATTACTTAACAAAACAGCAGGCTAGGAGCACAGACTTTGATGATAGAGTGCTGAAATCAAGCCAGAGTTTTCTTCCTACTTATTCTATTTTACCCATTTAATTTCTTTTCTTGTTTAACTTATATGTTTTTAAGGGTCAGATGATTAAAATGTACTGCATGCAGTACAGGCCAGGCACGTTTATCAATGTTAACTCACTTGTTCACTGAGGTAGATTTAATACCAGTGACCCTGGGGGCTCACAGAGGTTACATACTTGCCCCTATGTCTCTTTTCCAGAAAGCACTGGAAATGGAGTTTGTCTAACTCAACAGCTTCTGTGACTTCAGGGAAATAACTTCATAACCTAACAATTCCTTCAACTACTCGCCGGCATCAGAAACACACCAATTCTCTGGGGCTGAGGTGCTGAACAAGGGACTCCAGGAGGTATTTTTGTTAAATTTTTGTGTGGCTCATGTGAGACTTGTCAAAGCCCATCTGTGTTTGCTACGTGCAAAAAGCAAGACTATCCCCAGTGGTCAAACAGCCCTCGTTCACCTCCATCCTCATCTTTCAGAGAGAGGAGGCTAAGTGCTAGCTTTCTGGGAAGTGTCCCTAACGACAGGTCCAGAATAAAGGCCACCTGGGATGCAGGGGGGTGCCCTGACCCCGCATGCGCACAAGGTGTGCTGAGAACAGGCACACCACTTAACATCCTGATCCTGCCATCTCCGCAGCAGCCGAGACAAGGTGCACAGTTCTCTCTCCAGGCTACCTGGGTCTCCTGGTGAATTCTGGGTAGATGGAAGCATGGTCCAAAATGGAACTACATCAAAGTGGTGGGAACCTTTTCCAAAGTGTGATGCTCACAACTGTCACTGCACGTGGCTCAATGCCAATGGCTTGTGCTCAAAGGGCCCTGGGATCCTCGGCGAAGTGACTCTGTGGGCCTCTTTCTTACCCCTGGGATTTCTGGGAGTCTGACAGGTGAGATCTGTGGACTCCCCCTCCCCTATGGATGGTTCCTTAAACTAAGAAGTGGGACCCTGTCTGCCTCCCAAGCTGTCCTGCCCTGTCACACAACACAGCTCCCCAGCCTGTGAGCTCCAGTGCCCTCTCTTAGCAAATACCTCCTTTAGGCCTCAGAAGTTGCTTCCTCTAGGAATCCTCCTGTCGGCCTTGCCCCACCCCATGGACCTCAATGTGTCACCAGAGTGTGATACACGGCACCTGGACACATGCCCAGCTGAAAGGACAGCCTTAATCAAACTCCCATCTCAGAGCCCAGCAGAACCTGGCACACAGTAGGTGCTTAAAAGGTGTGTGCAGGTCAGGTATGAATGGTCAAACCAGGGGAGCTGAGAGTTTCTATTTGTTTTGGAAATAGAAACAAGAAAAGGAGCAGTTACTACTCCAGCTGACCGAGTGGCGCTCGCCAGGATCTGGAAAACTCTGGCTTTTGTTTAGGTGACAATGGTGCGTGCAATGGGCCTCTCTCATGCACTCCACGCACCGGGCTTTGCCAGACTTACAGGGGAGGCCGCATGGATTGGCAGAAGAGGTCCAGGAAGGGGAGGCAGGGAAAGGAAACAGAGATCGGTAAGTACGTGGCCATCAGAAGTATGGCACTTGTCAGCCTTCGGATGCTGGCATAGCAAAACGTGACTTTGTCTTTAATATTCGAGTATTTTTAGGCAGAATCTTAGACTAAACAAAAGAAAACACACAGGGCATCATCCAAAGCACCATGTAGTGGGGGCAAAAAAAAATTTTTTTTTAAACCACAAGTCTTAATGGGTTGAAAGAATATTATTATTAGAAGAAAAAAAAATCAAGTACCTCTAACACAATATTTCAAATCACTTGGTCAAGCACCGAGAAAATGATTTGTTTAGAAAAGAAGATGGTGGCCTGCCCAATGTGGCTCAGGGGTTGAACAACGACCCTTGAGCCAGGAGGTCACGGTTCCATTCCAGGTCAGGGCTCATGCCCGGGTTGTGGGCTCGATCCTCAGTAGGGAGTGTGCAGGAAGCAGCAGATCAATGATTCTCTCTCATCGTTGATGTTTCTACTCTCTATTCTTCTCCCTTTCTCTCTCTGAAATCAATAAAAAATATATTTAAAAATAAAAGAGAAGATAATCTTACACGGCTTCAGAGATGTCTCCTCTTAGCAAATAACCCAGGTTTATGCCTACCCTAACCTCGATACAACGTGATTCAATCATCACAACCAGTAGAATTTGCTCAACTTTAGTCTGTCTCTCCAAACTGTGAGCAACCTTCAGAATCTATAATACCATTACGTCAGCATCAAAAGACAGAAAAACATCTTCAAAGACAAAATAAATCTTTATACACAGTATTCCTAAAAATATACCAATTTTAAGTTCCTTTAGGAAATATAATAATCTACAGCTTTTCCCCAGTGATAACAATCAGAATGTGACTCCAAGCTTTGACTGCTGGTGGCTCTGACAGCTCACCCTGAGGACTTATCACTGCAGTGTGGCCCTCAGCCAGGCAGCTTCCCGCCAGCAGGGGGCGATGTCAATCTGTGCTCATAGGATTATTATTTTTTAAAATCAATGTCAATTGTGAATGTGGCACCATCAAAAAACTCTGATATTCCTTTAGTTTTCTAAGTCTTACGGAGAGGGAAAGAGAACAATGGAATTCTTAGATTTCTTTGTGCAAATCACCAATGCTTTACAAGGAGAGATACAAAATTATTTCAGTCTGTGACTCACCTACTCTTATGTCCTTGGTTTGGTTTTGCACTCTCTCTGGTATATTATTAATGGAGGTATAGCCCTAAAAAACAAACAAAAAAATAGTTCAAAATAAATTGATGTGCATAGTAAGTAGAACAGCAGGGACCCGGGACTCATTTAGCATAGAGCAGAAAAGCAAAACACAGATGTAACATTTCCCTTAAGGTGGAAATTATCATTATGTGGCCATTAAAAGTCTTAAAAAATTCCCAGTAGAGGGGACTTGCTTCCAACTGTATCCATTGAAGATCATACTAACAGTTTCTAACTTTTTACCTTTGACTTGTATTAAAAGTTTATCTGTATCTTCACTATACCAGTGTATCTCAAATGGGGACAATTCTGCCTTTTGCATCCATATGCTGAGGTTAGGAAACTCTGATCCATACAATGGACCATGTGCAGGTGCAGATTCATAGATAACCCATATCTACTCATTTCTACAATAGCATCTTCTTTTCCAATTGCATGAAATTGGGGCTCTAGGCTCACAGAAAACAATAATGCCCTAAAGCCCAGCTTCCGGAGAATACACATTGTAGTGAGGAAAAAAACAACAAAAAACAAAAACAAAGACAGCCTTGCCCAGCCAGGTCGCTTGGAGGCTAAATCTGTGGCAGGAAAAAGTCCTTATTTCCCAAGTCACTCAAGGAAATATCCAGCCTCTTCCCTGGCAGGGGCTTGACTTGTGTTTCTGTGTGTCAGCTGCTGTGTGTCGCCACCTGCCTGGGAACACTGTAGCGATTGTAACCTATCCTGAATGCAAGGTCTGCGTCCCCCTACAATGAAAATGCCGAAATCCCATCCTCAGAGTGATAGTATTAGGAGGTGGACCTCTGGGGGTGATGAAGTCAGGAGAGTGAAACCCCATGCATGAGGTTGGGGCCCTAAGGACCGAGTGACAAGGATCCAGTGAGAATTGACTGCCTGCCACCCAGACAGGGGTCTCTCACAGGATCCCAGACATGCTGGCGTCCTGATGGCAGAATTCCCTCCACTGGAACTGGGAGAAATACCACAATGTCTGCAGTGAAGAGCCGCCCAGCCTATGCTACTCTTTGATGGCAGTGCAGGTCTACTTTGTAAACTTAGGGAGGTTTATGACGTCCCCAGGTTCCACTGCAGCCCATCAGCAATGATGGCATAAAACAAGATCTCAACTGCCTCCTCAGGGGTGACCAAGCTGCCCTGCTCTCCCTTCTTGGCAACCCCGCTCCAAACCTCCCTGCTTTTCTGCTGTTACTTGTTTCGTACACATTAGTCTACTCTTTAATGTAGGATATCGTGTTTCCCGGATAACATACCATTTTGAGCAGGCTGGATAGATTTGTCTGGAGAACAACATTAATGCGATCAATTTCTGGACTCAACAACGGGAGCTGAAATGTGTAAAACAAAACATAAGGCAAGGAGGTGACCCTCCAAATCTCTTGTCATCTTCTATCCATGTTCCAGGGCCTCTATATTGTAGGGTATGACCTATATTTCTTGGGAACAGCAGAGTACTGAGTGGGGAAAACACATTTAGCTCAGGATAGCTTGTAGAGAGCACTAGTTTTTGATGGGGCAAGTCTCCTGCCTCAGGAGAGAGAGAAATTGAACATGGACTGAATAGGTGTGACCTCAATTTCAGGTAGTGAATATTGTTGAATAAACAACTTTTACAAAAAACACATTTGAAAGTAATACAGTCGGTGGTTCTCTTGGTGCATGGGCTGGGATGTATTTTTCATTTTATATCATGCATGGACTTAAAGGGTCCTGTGTCTTACCAATACCGAGACAAATATCCCTCCTGACACCGTATACCGGGGACACAGTATCACTTTTGTGCTATCTTGACAAGTGCACATACTTTAAATTGAATCACGAGGGACCATCAGACAAACATAAATTGAAGGTCATTCTATATAATAACTGCCTGTAGTCTTAAAAAATGTCAATGTAGTCCTAGCTGGTTTGGCTCAGTGGATAGAGCATTGGCCTTCGGACTGAAGGATCCCGGGTTCACTTCCAGTCAAGGGCACATGCCTGATTGCAGGCTGCTCCCCTGTAGGGGGTATGCAGGAGGCAGCCGATCAATGATTCTCTCTTATCACTGATGTTTCTGTCTCTCTCTCTCTCTCCTTCTCCCTTCCTCTCTAAAATCAATACAAATATATATATATTTTTAAATGTCCATGTCATGAGAAAAAGATAGACTCAGACACTGTTTCAGATTGAAGAAACTAAAGAAACTTGAAAACCAAAGACCACATGTGATCCTGGACTGGACTGAATAAGAAAAAAAAAGGCATTTTGAGAAAAATTGGCAAAATCTGAAATATATACTGTGGGTTAGATGGTAGGAGTAGGTCAATTGTATATGGCCTCATGTTGATAACGGTATTATTTACTATGTAAGGTCAGGAAATATTTAGGGGTAAAAGGGCATAATGCCTGCAACTTTCCTGCAAACAACTGAGAAAAGAACAAAATGCCTATCATTTTATGCATACATATGACAATATACCTAGACAGATGATAGATACATCTATACTATTAATAAAAGGGTAATATGCTAATTAGACCAGGAGACCAGACATCTTCCTACCATCTAACTTCCTTCCGGACAAAGCCATAGTGGTGGGGGCTGAGACAGAGGTGGTTAGTGGTGATCAAGCCAGCAAGGGAGTGCAGTTGGGGGCCATGAGGCTGGCAGGGGAAGGCAGTTGGGGGCCATCAGGCTGGCATGGGAGTGGTTAGGTAGTGATCCAGTTGGTAGGCAGGCAAGTGATTAGGAGCCAGTGGTCCTGGATTGTGAGAGGGATGCAGGTTTAGGCCCCATCTCTGTGGGAGAAGTCGAACATCTCCTGAGGGGTCCCAGATTGGAGAGGGTGGAGGATGGGCTGAGGGACACCGCCTTCCAGTTCATGAATTTCGTGCACTGGGACTCTAGTAAATAGATAAGTGGATAAAATAATATGATCAAGCAAATGGAGGCAAGTGTGGTGGATCTGAGTAAAGGGCATAGACAGGGTTCCTGGTACCATTCTAGTAGGCCTTCTGCATGTTTAAAAATTTACCAGAATATGTCCACCAATTAATCTGAAATATCATGGCTGACATGTACACTAAGGAACTGTTTGACATTGAAATTGGGACTCAAAAGAACTGTAGGCCCAGAAAGGAACCCACTACAGACTGACTCATTTGCCTCTCAGCATAATCATTATGGCTTGTCTCATTTTTGGTTCTTATAAGGGTATTTCTTGTATCACATGATCTCATGCATTTAGGGGAAATAAGGAACAACACAAACTGATGAACAAAAACAGACCCGGAGACAGAGAAGCAACGATCAGACTGTCAAACCTCAGAGGGAAGGTAGGGGAGAATGGGGGTAAGGGGAAGATATCAACCAAAGGACTTGTGTGCATGCATATAAGCCTAACAGTGGTCATGGACAATAGGGGAATGGGGGCATACGGAGGGGTTTGGGATGGGAATGGGGGGATGAGGAAAATTTTGGGATACCATAATCAACAAAGAAATTAAACAAAATAAATAAATCAATAATTTAAAAAAAATAAAATTTACCAGAATAAAACATTATCCAAAAAGGACTCAATTTAAGTGCCAGTGCAGATTGTGAGCTCTAAAAGGCTGTCTGATGATGATGAAAGTAACTGTAGTAGCTATGAAGACACAGATGCTGGATGTGAAGTAAAACTGATGCATGAAATATGAAAATGTGAAAAATGCAGCTAAATTAAAATACTGATTTATGCCAATGTGATGTGTATCAATGTCACTATCTCATAAAGAAAAGACCATGAGCAGATATTATTTTATCTGTATCCCAGAATTTTATAAATTCAAGATGCTCCAAATATTTTACCTAATCCTTTCTTTGGAAATATGAGAAATTACTTTATATTTAGGCACATCATCCCAAAATACAGTTTAGCTTTTAAAGGTTTATAAAAATGCATTCTGGACAAGTGCTGGTGAGGATGTGGAGAAAAAGGAACCCTCATGCACTGCTGGTGGGAATGCAGAGTTGATGCAGCCACTATGGAAGAAAATATGGAGTTTCCTCAAAAAATTAAAAATTGAATTTCCATTTGACCCAGTGATCCCACTTCTAGGAATATATCCTAAGAAACTAGAAACACCAATCAGAAATAATATATGCACTCCTATGTTCATAGCAGCACAATTTACAACAGCTAAGGTTTGGAAACAGCCTAAGTGTCCATCAACAGATGAGTGGATTAAAAGGCTATGGTACATCTACACAATGGAATAGTATGCTGAGGTAAAAAAGAAGGAATCTTACCATTTGCAACAGCATGGATGGAACTGAAGAACATTATGCTAAGCAAAATAAGCCCGTCAGAGAAAGATATTTATCACATGATCTCACTCGTTGGTGGAATATAATGAACAACATAAACTGGTGAACAAAAATAGAGCCAGGGTCAAAGAAGCATTGAACAGACGGTCCAGTCCAAGAGGGAAGGCCAGGGGTGAGAAATCAACCAAAGGACTTGTGTGCATACTGATGAGCATAACCAATGGACACAGACAGTAGGAGAGTGAGGGCATGTGCTGGAGGGTAGGAGCAGCTAGGGAGAGGTCAATGGGAGAAAAAGGAGACTTATGTAATACGTTAAACAATAAGTAATTTTTTAAAATGCATTCTGCTTCCTTTTCTTTCTTTCTTTTTTTTTTTTAAGTTGAGTCCATTTTGCTGTTTTGTCCAATTGGATAACTCTCAAGGAGGGGCTTCCTACTATAATACTTCTCCCCGCACTGCGGCCATTCCAGTGGTGATCAGGTGCTGGGAAGGCGGACAGAGCCCAGGCACTGTGCACTGGGGCTAGCACCCACTCGGAGCCCTGCCCAGCTGCCCGGAGACTCTGCCCCACACGCGACGATGTCGCCCCTCACCAGGTCCAGGTTGATGTTGCTGTCCAGCTGGCCCAGAGTCATTCTGATGGAATTGCACTTGGCACTCACGGAGGACAGGTTGCACATGGGGTCCTTGAGGGACTGTTCCACGTTGCTTTTCACTTGATACAGGTTTTTGTAGATCCCTTCCATACCATTCTTCAACTCCCATAAGACTTGCTCCATGTGCAAAAGGAGTACACTGGTTTCTTGGATCTCTGTGGGAACATAGTCTGCTTCAGGGCAGAGGCACCCACAAGCTGCTGCCCATCTATAGCTGCCCATCTACACTTCCCATCTACAGATCTCAGGAGTGCTCCCAGGATCCCGTGTCCCCCCACCCCACTCCCCTGGGGGAACCTGCCACTGCTGGCTCCTCTGCCAGCCCCTGCAACCAGCTCAGCCTTCCCGCTTGGGGAACTCGATAGGGACATCTGGGTATGGCAGTAACCCCCGGACAGGACATGGCAACCTCAGGAAAAGGTGTTGCTGCCCCAGCATCACCAGGCCTTGAAGAGGCCAGCCCAGCTCCAGCCGACCTGGCTCAGTGGTTAAGTATTGACCTTTGAACCAGGAGGTCATGGTTCAATTCCCGGTCAGGGCATATGCCTGGGTTGCAGGCTCGATCCCCAGTGTGGGACATGCAGGAGGCAGTCGATCGATGATTCTCTCTCATCATTGATGTTTCTACCTCTCCCTCTCCCTTCCCCTCTCTGAAACCAATAAAAAAAAAATTTTTTTTTAAAAGAGGCTAGCCCAGACCAGCTAGCACCTCCATCCCCAAGCAGTTTTCACCCACCTTATGCTATGGCTATTCAAAGAGCTAGAAGTAAGTGCAGAGAAACAGGGAAGAGCATGGTTTTGGATTCAGGCAGGTCTGGGTGCATACCCGGGCTTCCCTACACACAGGCCATGGAACTAGAAGCTGAATCCTGAATATTTTTAAAAATATATATTTTATTGACATTTTAAAGAGAGGAAGGGAGAGGGATAGAGAGTTGGAAACATCAAGGAGAGAGAAACATCGATCAGCTGCCTCCTGCACACCTCCTACTGGGGATGTGCCCGCAGCCAAGGTACATACCCTTGACTGAATCGAGCCTGGAACCTTTCAGTCCGCAGGCCGATGCTCTATCCACTGAGCCAAACCGGTCAGGGCTGAATCCTGAACATTTTGCTGGCAGTTTCCTCAAATGCTGACACCACCACCATGCTCATCAGGAAATGTGGAGATGAGAAGGACCTGACTGGATGGCAGAGAGACCATCTGCCTTACTTTGGGGACCCCGCAGCCTGGAACACATCCTTAGACACGGAAATCCCTAATACTTATTTGCAACCCTGACTTGTCTGGTGCATTGAGCTCCGCACTCATGACCAGGGAAGCGGCGGATTACAACTTTTTTCACAGTGACTTTTCACAGCCCCAGCAGGACACGGTGGGGAATTTAAATAGAGGGCAGGCTCTTCTGAGCGAGTAGGCCTTCCAGGCTCACAAAACACATGGCGGAGTGCGGGGGGGGGGGGGGGGGGGGGGGGGGGGGAGGCAGCGGGGGAGAGATGGCTAGGAGAGAAGGAACACCCTTGAAAATGCGTTTCCCCAAGTTTCCTGGGCTACCACATGCGCGTGAGTGCCAACACAACAACAACAACAACACACACGTACACACACACACACACACACACACACACACGCATGCACGCACGCATTTCAATGCTTCCATGTGGTGAAATCAAAAGTAGTTTGAGGTCTCATCTGATCCCAGTTCTGCTCCTACCGTGTGACAGCACCCCTGGCAAACTCCTCCACCTCTGGGGGCCTCGTTTCCTCGTCTGTAATGGAGAAAGCTGGTTGGGTTGTCTCCTGATCTCTAGGAGAGTCTGCTGTTCTAGGTTGTGCCTAGCACGTTTGCCCTCAGGAGATGGCATTGCCGTGTCTCCGCGTTGGAACCTCGGCTTTGATGAGACCTGAGAGGCTCCCAGGGTGGGACTGTAGGACCCTGGGTCCCAAGTTCCATCTCCTCGTCTGCAGAGCAAACCTTCACGTCTCCTCCGAACAACCCTCTCTCTTGAATGGTGCTCCAGGGGGAGCGGAACAACATCCGAGGCCATCACAATACTCAAGACTCTATTGGTTTCTCATCTCTGGGCTTGGGGTCTCATGTCTTCCATCTCCCTCCTGGAATTATCAGCAAAGGATGGAGCTGGGACCCGCTCTCATCAGAGACTCAATAAACAGCTACCATAGCAAAACAGGAAACAAAGACCACGGCTGCCATGAGAAACACACAACAGAAAGCACGAGAGCACACCCAAACACACTCCCATCACACAACACACACACCTCTGGTCTTCACGTTGTGTAGCTAACACTCACGGTTTACCTGTGCACTCAGACTGCAAGGAAAGTTATTTTAAGGCAATAAACAAATAGCAACAACAAAAAGTAATGGGTGGTAACATACACAGCTGGGCACCATCTATAGAGATTCTGGATTATGGGTACCATTCTGAGGACTGAGGTGTAAATATTATTGTGGTTTCCCCTCCCCCCGCCCCCAGGGTTTTGAGGCATTCTGTGTCTGTAAAACATCCAGTGGGCTAGAACGCTGGGAGTCAGGCCAGGCCAGCCAAGATCACCTGCATCCTGTGTCTGAAGTCAGAGATTTCAGGTTCTCCACTTTTGTTCATTAACATGTTGCCAGCTCACAGCACACTGCCTTTCCAGATCCCGATGGGCAGCTCAGATGTGATTTGTGCAAATCACTTTGCATGTTCCTGCTCTCTCTAGAGGCTACTAAATGCATAAGGCTGCTGAGAATGTTTAGAAAAAATACTGCTGAAGCAGTATATTAAGCACATTTTAAACAGTTCGGGCAACACCCGAGGCTAAAGGTTCACTTATTTGGCCTGGCTACACAATAATAGGATTTTAATACCAATGCAGGAGGCACTGGAGAGGAAAATGAATGTGTTTTAATAGCCTTTGATTCAAAGAGAATTACAATTCAAATATTAAAATTTGGCCAAACCACGGGGCAAAAGTCAGGTTCCCCACCAACCACATGGCTTCCACTTAAAAGTATATATGTTATATGCTTGTTTATTTATTTATTTATTAATAACATTTTATTGATTTTTTACAGAGAGGAAGAGAGAGGGATAGAGAGTTAGAAACATCGATGAGAGAGAATCATCGATCAGCTGCCTCTTGCACACCTGGGGATGTGCCCACAACCAAGGTACATGCCCTTGACGGGAATCAAACCTGGGACCTTTCAGTTTGCAGGCCGATGCTCTATCCACTGAGCCAAACCGGTTTTGGCTGTTTATTTATATTTTTAACACTTGTGAATATATATATATATATATATATATATATATATATATATATATATAATTAAAATACATATATATTATTAAAATACATATATATTATTAAAATACATATATATTTTTATTATAATTATTGATTTCAGATATATCAAGGAGGGGTATCCCATGTCCTTCCTGCCCTTGTCCCACTCCTGCTCTTGGCCACTCACCCCGACCAAGAATCAAACTCCTGATTCATAGGTTGACGCTCAACCACTGAACCACACTGACTGAGCCATTCAGACTTTGGAAGCTGGAAGAGACTGTGACAGATAAATATTCCAAGTGCGCAACGCACAAGGGGCATGGGGACACCTGCCTAGTGTCCTCCCATGGCCATACAGGTTCTTGACTCTACATTCCTAACTCTTCCTTCTGTGACACTGTGAGATCTTGCCTTGGATGGCATGGAGCAGTCCTACATCTTTACACTCCTGAGTGGACCCAAACGCCATCTGGGCTGGTCCAGGCAACGCAGACTTTATCACTAGACTGGGGTCTGAGTCCCAGCTCCATCTCTTCCCAGTGCCATGCACTTGAACTAGCTAAATCGTCTCTGGGCCTTACTGTACTGAGCTGGTAAAAGGCAGGGGTCGGCACCCACCCACAGAGTTGTGAGCACCTGGCACATAGCACAGATAGTTTCTCAACATCTGAAAGGGCCTGGGAGGTCGTTTTTGAAGTAGCAGTCTATTAAAATCAGTATATCTGTTCACTACACCGTCAACTGTGGTGACTTTGAATATATTAGGTATATTTTCACTTTATAGAACTTGTTCTTTCGGGGGCAAAGGAAACGGAGTAATCAAGCCTGACAGGCGTAGCTCAGTTGTTAAACATTGGCCTATGAACCAGAAGTTCACAGTTCGATTCCCAGTCAGGGCACATGCCTGGGTTTTGGGGCTTGATTCCTAGTGGGAGGCCTGTGGGAGGCAGTTGACGGATGATGTTTCTATCTCTCTCTTTCTCCCTTCCCCTCTCTCTAAAAATCAATAAAAACTTGTTTTGTTTTTTAAAAAGGAGTAGTCAATAGACCCCAAAACCTAAAATTCCATCGGCTACTCATCTTTTTTTTTTTTTCAATATATTTTATTGATTTTTTACAGAGAGAAAGGGAGAGAGAGAGAGAGCTAGAAACATCAATGAGAGAGTAACATCAACCAGCTGCCTCTTGCGCACTCCCTACCAGGGATGTGCCCACAACCAAGGTACATGCCATTGACCGGAATCGAACCTGGGACCTTTCAGTCTGCAGACCGATGCTCTACCACTGAGCCAAACCGGTTTTGTCTGGGCTAATCATCTTTGATAGCAGTGGCCAACTAGCTTTTCTGGGAAGGTTAGACAGTAAATCTTCCAGGCTCTGTGGGCGCCGGGTCCCTACTGTGACCACCTCTGCCACCATCCTAGAGTGAACGCAGCCACTGATGTCGCCCAAACCAATGAGCTCGCCAGCGTGCCAATAACAATTTTGCCACTATTGTTTCAAGTGGCCTGTAGACCATCCATTTGCCACTATTGTTTCAACTGGCCTGTAGACCATCAGTATGACGACCTTGACACAAGCTTTTAAAAAGCACTATATAGAGAAGAGGTCAATGAGAAAGTAAAGGGATGGGGGGACATAGGTAATACTTTCAACAACAAAGATTTAAAAGAAAAAATAAACACTATGACTATGCCCAATCTGCCACTAGTATGCCCCGCCCACCCCTTTGCAAGAGCACAGGTGGTGGCGGCGGTCACCCCGGCAACCAGAGGGAAACCCAGGAGAGGGAGAGGGAACCTGGGAAGCCAGAGCCTTCGGGGAGGGATGAGGGGAGAGAGAATGTTCCCTCCATCACTTCTGCCTGTCACAGCACTCACCTTTTGCCATGGCCTTGATGTCATCAAGAACGAGGAGCGCATGAGGTCTTAGTTGTTCCTGAATGTTGCCTCCTAGCAATGTCTTAATATCTAAATATAAAACAGGCATAAGGGAATGTGAGGGGTGCCCCGTGTCCTTCCTGCCCGGGTCCCACTCCTGCTCTAAGGTTGTGCCTAGAGAATCGCCTTTGGTCTCTCCCTCCGTGAAATTCCACTTTTATTCTAGACCTGGGTTGGGTGTTGAGTCTTTTCAAAGCCCCGCACCTACTGTGACCCCGTGAGAAACAAATGGGCAGAGACTCAGCATTTTGTGACCCTAGGACCATGGCCTTCATCATCTTGAGCTGTGAGTGCTGGTGGCCCTGAGACCAGGGTCCCACAACCATGACACCGCTGCCATGAGGGGCTGCCTAATTCTTTGTTGAGGGGGCTGTTTGTCCTGTGCATGGTGGGATTTATCTTTGGAATCTACCAACAGAGGCCAGTACCCCTGCTGACCCCCCTCACCCAGCTGGACAACCAGAAATGTCCCTGGATGTTGCCAAACATGGCCAGGGGGCACACAGGCTGAGAACTGCTGCGCAAGGCTTCATGGGAGCTGCCTGGGGGCACACAGGGAGGAGCAGTCCCTTTCCCCCCACTCCCCTATGGCTTCCAAAGCCCCCTGGCTTCTCTGGGGCCTATTTCTGTCTTCAACAAAGACTACTCCTCCTGCTCATGGGCCATGGGGGACAGCCCCTTGTGACTATAAGGAAATCAAAGCATTCTCACCATGCAGGCTAGGTTTCCATCCTGAGCAACACACTGCACACTGGCACTAACTCTAGGGAAGGACTTTCCTGTTTTCCCTCTTTTTGCACAGAAATGGTAGAAATAGCATCGTTCACCTGTGCCTGCGTTTTTAGGGGAGATGGCCGTCACAACCTCCAGCCAAAACAAGCCCACACGAAACACTCGAGGCAACTGGCAAAGCCACTTACTGTCCAGATCTGAGAAGGCCCTTTTCTTCGTGGTGGTGAACTGGGCAAGCACGTAGTTCAATTGCTAAAAATAAATAAATAAATAAATAAATAAATAAATAAATAAATAAGTAGAATACAGATGGTGTGTTCTAGAATTGTACATTTGAAATCTCTATACTTTTATTAAACCAGGCCGCCCCAATAAATTCAGTAAAAAGAAATAAAACAACATGAAACTGTCTCATCTGAAGTCCAAAGCCACACTAAAAAAGAAACCTAACATACAAAAAGTATCCCCAATCTGGCGGGTGTGGCTCAGTGGTTGCACATCAACCTATGAACCAGGTCACAGAGGCTTGCAGGAGGCACCCAATCAATGATTCTCTCTCATCATGGATGTTCCTATCTCTCTCTCTCCCTCTCCTTTCCTCTCTGAAATGAACAAAAATATTTTTTAAAATATCTTGAACCAAAACATTTTAAAAACCATATATATTTTATTGATTTTTTTTTTTTTTTTTTTACAGAGAGGAAGAGAGAGTGATAGAGAGAAATATCATCGATCAGCTGCCTCTTGTACACCCCGCAACCAAGGTATATGCCTTGAACGGAATGAAACCTGGGACCTTTCAGTCTGCAAGCCAAACCGGTTTCAGCTTGAACCAGAACATTTTTAAAAAAGAAGTAGGTTCTTGGAGATGTTTACATTTTCTGACACCCCGATTTCTTAACAACACCTCACAGCGTGTTGGCTTAAGAAATAAGATTCCTGTCGAAACCGGTTTGGCTCAGTGGTAGAGCGTCGGTCTGTGGACTGAAGGGTCCCCGGTTCGATTCCGGGCAAGGGCATGTACATTGGTTGCGGGCACATCCCCAGAAGGGGGTGTGCAGGAGGCAGCTGGTCGATGTTTCTCTCTTGTCGATGTTTCTGGCTCTCTATCCCTCTCTCCTCCTCTCTGTGAAAAATCAATAAAATATATTTAAAAAAAACAAAAAAACACGATTCCTTATTTCTCAGGATGCAGGGCAGTGGCTTTGTGGTTGGCTTGGGAGAGACGGCATGGCTGGGACACGGGGGCCACTCCCTCCACGTGGCCTCTTTCCCAAGGGTCCAACCTGGGTGTTTTCACTGTGGTCCGGGTAGTGAGAGAACAGGGATGGAGGCTCAGGGCCGTGGGAAGCTTAAGCCCGACACTAGCACAAGGTCACCTCTGTCTGTCTGCCGAGTTTTTTTGGTCAAAGCAAGTCATGGAGGCATGGGTGTGAACAGACCCGCCTCTGGAAGGGAGGGATGGCAGAGAATCTGGGGCCACCACGCACCTGCCACACCAGGGCCCCTGTATCCAGGCCTGGGCCTGAGCTGCCTGTGGGGGCTGCTTGCTCTGCCGTCTAGGTGTCCTGTGGCCTCCCTGCCCCCTCCCCGCATGCTGCTGTGTTCAGTAACTGCCACCGACCTCCTCAGCAAAAATGTGGTCGCTTTTAACTTTCCATTCCTCTGGCTGCACGAGTAAGGGTAAGTATCTCGTTGCTCGGGGCCTGGCATGCTTCCTCTACAAAATGACTGCATGCATTGTCTGCTCTGTTTTTTTAGGCCTTCTTTAAAGCTCTTGGTGTATTTTTTAAAAATATATATTTTATTGATTTTTTACAGAGAGGAAGGGAGAGAGAGAATTAGAAACATCAATCAGCTGCCTCTTGCACACCTCCTACTGGGGATATGCCCGCAACCAAGGTACATGCCCTTGACCGGAATCAAACCCGGAATCCTTCAGTCCACAGGCCGACGCTCTATCCACTGAGCCAAACCGGTTTCGGCTCTTCATGTATTCTGAACTAGACACACTTCCCCAAAAGTCCTAACAATTCACTAGCCTCCCACGTTTCTGAAAGCAACCCCAACGCACACCAGCCATGACTGATACGTATTAAATGTTGCCAACATTTTAGGAAAAAAGGGTTCCCTCTGGAGTCTTGAGAGTGACAGGTGAAAATGTTATGAAATTTTATTCACAGATTGTGGAAACGAAACACTTTCCTCTGTGTAATGCTGACAAGCGACGGGTAAAATTAGCTTCTCTCATCTCCATATGTAAAAGTGCCTTTTAGTTCCAGCCACATATTTAAAAACTGGTACACTAACGGGAGTGCTTTGCAGGCTGCGCTACAGGCAAAGAATGCGTGCTGTGTGCGGACACCGTGGGTTCCGCAGGCTCCTGGACCAAACCCAATGTGCACACGCTTCTCCCCAGCGGGGACCCTGAGCTCAGCGCCGTGTTTGGGGCTGATGCCTGCTCGGACATCTTGTAAATCAATGTTCTGAATAGGCAAGTCATCAATGTGTTACTGACACATAGAAAAAAGGTGCTGCCGAAACCGGTTTGGTTCAGTGGATAGAGCGTCAGCCTGCGGACTGAAAGGTCCCAGGTTCGATTCCGATCAAGGGCATGTGCCTTGGTTGTGGGCTCATCCCCAGTAGGAGGTGTGCAAGAGGCAGCTGATCGATGATTCTCTCTCATCAATATTTCTAACTCTCTATCCCTTTCTCTTCCTCTTGATAAAAAAAATCAATAAAGAAAAATGTTGTCTTCAGGCATCATGTTCCCGGTCCCCAAAGACAGTGTGTGTGTGTGTGTGTGTGTGTGTGTGTGTGTGTGTGTGTGTATGTGTGCAGGTGCACATGTGGGCCCACTCCCTAATCTATGTAGATATTAGTAAGTGGATGTTTATAAAGAACAAAGCTTTCATGACAAAGGTAACTTTGTCCAAAACAGTGGAGAGTTAACTACACTGTTAACTGCCAAAAAGTGAAGGGTAATGGCACCCAAAGATTTTTTCCTATATAAAAAAAAAAAATCATGAGACCCTTAGAATGGATAAGCACTTTAATCATGTGTACCACTGGTATATTTTATGATACCTTAATAAAATAAAATAAAATAAAATGACTTCAATTTTGAAATCATGCTTTTGACCTGTTTCAGACATCACATGCTGGGCATTTATTTCTTCCTCTACAACAGTGTTTCCCAAACTTTTGACATATGTGTACCCCTTCTATAATTTTCATAATGCTGAGTACCCCTCGTACTCATGAGGACGTAGAATTAGGCGCAGCTAAGCACGGTGCAGTGCATATCCCCACCAAACTCCGGTGAAACGCGTACCCCCACCAAACTCTTCCCGTACCCCTGGGGGTATGCGTACCACACTTTGGGAAACACTGCTCTATAGCATTGAGAGATGGCACCTGTCTACTTTGACTCATGGGCTTCCAGAAGGCTGAGTGAGATTCCCCATAGAAACAGGAACTCCGGAAGACCCCGAACACCCAACGCCCCGGAATACACAGATGGGGGATGGGGTAGGCTCTTACCGGTTCAGTCTGGTTCAGGAAAGTCCTCAGGTCTCTGAAATTGCTGTCGGCCAGGCTATAGGTCTTTTTGGTGTGAGTTGTGAAGTAGTTGTTTGCCACGAAACCATAGATGACGCCGATGCTGTGGGGAAAGCACAGGAGAAAGAGGAGCATTTCCGGTGCCCGCAGCGGGTGGCCAGGTACAGGTAGCACACTGACGGGGAGCAGCAGGGACAGGGCCCTCCTTCCCAGGCAACCCCTCCCTCCACTGCTGTAGCCTCCGGCCCTGATCCCCTGATCCACTCACCACCACCACCATCCCCATCACATGGGCAGCAGACAGGACCCCGTCTGCTCAGGGAAGACACAGAGCCAGGTCAGATGCATGTTCAGGTCAGGAGTGAATCAAATAAATGGAACAATGTTTATGATAAACTGCGAGGGAAACAGTAACTGACCAAGGGTACAAGGCATCAGCGTGTGCAATAATTGTGTTCTGTACGGATGTGATTGCAGGTACACACCCTCCCGTGCAGCTCACACACACACACACACAAACACACACACACACACCTCTGCTCCCCCAAAGAAGACTATCAGGCAAAATACCAAAATGGTAAGACTGCTTTGGGCTTTCTATCAGTTGTGTTTTTTCTAATTGTCTCTGTTAGTTTGTTTTTTGAAAAATATATTTTATTGATTTTTTTTTACAAAGAGGAAGGGAGAGGGACAGAGAGTCAGAAACATATTGATGAGAGAGAATCATCGATCAGCTGCCTCCTGCACATCTCCTACTGGGGATGTGCCTGCAATCCAGGTACATGCTCTTGACCGGAATCGAACCCAGGACCTTTCAATCCGCAGTTTTTGTATTGTCTAGGTCAGTAGTCGGCAAAATCATTAGTCACCAGAGCCAAATAAATATCAACAGCACAATGATTGAAATTTCTTTCGAGAGCCAACTTTTTTAAACTTAAACTTCTTCTAACACCACTTCCTCAAAATAGACTCGCCCGGGCCAGGGTATTTTGTGGAAGAGCCACACTTAAGAGGCCAAAGAGCCGCAGTTTGCCGAGCACAGGTCTAGGTTGAAAAGAAGCATGAGTCACTTTAGCTGTTCAATGCTGTACAAAAGCTGTGAACAATGCCCATGCCGTACCACGCCATTTTACAGAAAGCACAGAGCCATCCAGAGTGATGCTGCTTAAAGCCATGGTTCTATTTGGGAAGAGGTAGATAATGATGTAACTGGTGTGTTCACTTCATAGAAACTCACGAATATATGTTTATGCCAGGGACACTGTTCATAGTGGAAAATATACTTCAATAAAGACTTTCAAAAACACTATCCGAAAAGGCTCCTGACATGAAAATACAACACATCTTTCAAGCCAAAAAAATGGCCTCCATTCAATCATTCTCGGGGCTTTTAATGTTGACTAGTTACTAACCATCTCCTGACTTAAATTAACTTGACCAGTTTGTTTTTATGTCAAAGCCTTAGCGAGAACGTGGAAATGTGACATTTAAAAATGGCTAATTGCCGAGGCTTTGCTGAACTTAACCACTAGGTGACAGTAAAGAATTACATAACATAACAATATACCAATCTACCTACAGAAGTCAGTAACAAAACTGTTAAATTTGCAACCATTCAAAATAGAAGATAAGGACAGAACGAAGTCTTGATAGAAAAAGTTTTGTAAATAACAGGCAAACTCTGGGAAGAAAATTCTGATGCAGAATATCAATATCCTGGGTCTGCACCAAAAGCAATGTCTCCGGCTTTATGCATTCATATATTTACAGGTAGGGTGGCTAGGTGTCTATTTTTGCATCAGAAGTTCTGTGTTCCCAGGGGACCTCTCAGTCTTGGGAAAATGGAGACGTTCATTCACCCAATTTACAGTCATCATTCATTCCAAGGAGCATCTGTTCATCACCGGTCTCACTTAAAACGTTTCCTGATAGCAGTATCACACAGGAGCATGAGGTTTCCCAAACTAACCCAAAAAAGCCTATAACGCACAATATTGAACAATATTTCTCAGGTTTACCGAGTCCCAGTAGAAGGTGTACAAGAGTAGAAACAAGACTTTGCCACTATTATCATTAACTCTTACTGTGTGAACTAGAGAAACCACTCTCCTTCTGTGAGCTTCAGTTGGTATCACAAAATTGAAAATTAGGTAATTGCTTGTCAAGAGAGAGGGGTATTGGATGTCTACAAATTTTAAGTGGGGAATCGTGCTGATGGTAATCTTTAAACACACATACATACAAACACACACACACACACACACACACACACACACACTAGAGGCCCGGTGCATGAAAATTCATGCACTGGGGGTGGGGGCGGGGGGCCTTCAGCCCAGCCTGTGCCCTCTCCGGGGGATTGGGCCTAAGCTGGCAGTCAGATATCCTTCTCACAATCTGGAAGCCCTCAGGGGATGCCCACCTGCTGGCTTAGGCCTGCTCCCTGCCATTAGTTGGACATCTTTAGTGTTGCTGTAGAGGTGGGAGGGGCTCCCTCCAGCACTGCTGCGCTGACCAGCCATGAGCCAGCTTCTGGCTGAGCGGCACTCCCCCTATGGAAGCACACTGACCACCAGGGGCAGCTCCTGCATTGAGCGTCTTCTCCCTGGTGGTCAGTGTGCATCATAGCAACCAGTCATTCTGGTTGTTCTGCTGTTAGGATCAATTTGCATATTACCCTTTTATTTTGCAGGATATAGGATATATATGTATATATATATATATATATATATATTCTAGAGGCCCAATACATGAAATTCGTGAAAGGGGCTAGGTCCTCACAGCTGCGGCGGCTTGCTTCCGTAGCTTTGTCTGGAAGGTCGCTCGAAAGGATGTCTGGAAGGTCGTTCGGCTGTCCAGGCTAATTAGCATATTACACTTTTATTATTATAGCTCTATATATTCAGTGCCATTTGGAATGCCCACCTGATCATCCATTTCTGTCAATCTCAAGTCTGCACTGGTATTTATGAGACCTACTTAATACCAAAGCAATAACAGTTAAGTGGTGCGCTCATGCCAAATAAAGTCAAATGACCCAAAACAATGACTTTGGAGCGGCGTGGACAGAAGGGGAGAACAAGTTGAGTCATAACACTATATTTGGAGCTTTACTTATCAGGCCAAATCCCAAACATCCATGACAAATCAGAGTCATCACCTACATGCACCGGCCCACGACATGATCTCCTACCGGGGCCCGAGTTGTCTCTCCCCAGCATGTCCAAATCATGTGTCATCCATCATGCTCCAGACCCATCGTGCCATATAACAAGTCAAAGAGGACTTGAGAAACAATAGCAAGTCTAAGTCCTCTTGGCTTTCACTGTCCCCTCCCACCCATGGAACCTGGAAGTCCCAGAGGGCTCACTTCACACTCCAGTTTGTCTTTATTTCTACCTGTGCTTAATCTCTCTAAAAGGAGATGAAAACTGCTTTGTCAATTTTACATACCATGGGGGTCTCTGACCTGTGATGGGTGCTCAGCGAAGGTGGTTTTAGAGACTGGACTTTGTTTCATTTTGGTCCACTTAGAAGACTGGCCATAGGTCTGGAGTGTCCAAGCCAGAAACTGTCTTTGATCCTTTATTGAATAAACGCCTTTACTTACAAGGTCATCAATCGGTAAAACGAGTTGCAGTATGACACTGCATTTCAGTGCAGCATGCAGTATTTCAAAAGACCCACATTTTTGCTGATCTACTATGGATCCAATTAAAATGAAAGCATTGGTCATTTTTGTTTAAAACTGTATTAAACAGAGCTCTGGAATAGAATCCAGCAACTTTCAAAGCTGATTTTTAGACCCATGCCACGTTGTAAATTTTACATTTATATCAAGCATGGAAAATTCAGATGCCAGGCAGGAAGCAGGAAGGCTAGGAGTGTGGCAGAGACCTTGGGGAGCTGAAGGTGGGAGGTGGGAATGGGGCAGCTGCCCTGTGGCCCTATCACACGCCCACAAGATGGCAGACCAGTCCTGCCAGATCTTCTCCAAAATGTAGAAATCTGCATTATTATGTAAATATCTCCCATTTTAACTATTAGCAACTATTCAAAGAAAAAAGAAACTTTACATACCAGGAAAAACAACTGGTTTCCATTTGTAATCTCTAATTTGAAATTTCTAGCTAAACACAAAAGCTATCAAAATATGCACTCTTTTATGCAGTACAATAAAATCTCTTGAAATGTTTAACAGAAGATAGCCATACTACTTTTTGTGGCAAATTAGCATTATATCTTCTGAATTTTGTAATGGACAGGCCAATGTTGTCACATATACACTTTTAAAGAGTAAGGCCACACCTTTGAAACTCTTGGTAATTTTTTTTCTATCAATTTCTACTGGCTTAATGAAATTAGCCAAAGAAAGCCAAGTCAATGTTTTCAGTCTGTAACTGATCTCTTATTTTTTTAAAGATAATTATTAAATTTAAAATATAAATAACTAGCCTTCTCGTTCATGTTAAGAAAAATCTTGAGGTTTTCAGACATGCTAGTTCAATTTCTTTTCTGGAACCTCGTGGCCTCCAAGCCGGGAACTGACAGTCACAACCTTATGAAAAATGAACTTTAAAAAATAGCCATCTTTTTGAGAGTGACTGGGATTCCATTTTCACCACGGTCATCGGCAAGAGCTGGTTTGTCACACTCAGAAACTTAGGCAGGTACTGGAGAAATACAGGCCTGGGTGCTTTTTTTGGTGGCCTATAACCTTTCTTGAAATTCTGAAAAATGCAGCGATGACAAGTACCAGGGAAAGAAAGAAGGGGAAACTTGGCTTTGTCTGCAGCGAAGCACATCTGCTTACACAGTTTGCAGTGAGAGGTGAAAATTCCATCTCTGGCTGATGGTCACAGACTTACGTAAACACATGTCGGCGGGTATGGCATTCTAGCCTGCCTTTGTAAAAACTCACACACAGGGAGAAGCTCACCACATATATCCCATATTGCTAGGGGTTCCTGCTCCTTGACACCTATCCCTTTCTCAATTAAAAAGGAAAAAAATACCTATTTTTTTTTTTTTTATAAAAAAAAAGGGTGGATGATTGTTGAAATCTGTTTGGCTCAGTGGATAGAGCGTCGTCGGCCTGAGGACTGAAAGGTCCCAGGTTCGATTCCGGTCAAGGGCATGTACTTTGGTTGCGGGCACATTCCCAGTAGGGGGTGTGCAGGAGGCAGCTGATCGATGTTTCTCTCTCACCGATGTTTCTAACCCTCTATCCCTCTCTCTTCCTCTCTGTAAAAAAATCAATTTTATATATATATATATATATATATATATATATATTATTTTTTTAAGGGTGGATGAAAAATTACAGCACTCAAGACTAGTGTACAAACCAACTCCATTTTTAATTGTAACACTTCCTATAGAGACACAAAATGGAATTGAACCTGATAAAAGGCAAGTGAATGACCATGCTGGGGTTTCTGAATTTTTTTTAAAAATCTCATATAAAGATTAATTATCAGCAATACCTATCTCTGCTGAATCCATGTTCTTTTCTGCCTCTGACTTTTGTTTACATGCCTTCCCCTCTTATCTCATCGTCTGCTGTTGGGGTGTACTTCCTTCTCCTTCCTACCTAATCAAAATGCAGAAATCATCCTGTTCCCCTGGTCTCCAGCTTCTGGGATAACTTTGATTACTTATAAATAACACATAGCCATTATTCAACTCATGTGATGAAGAGACTTGCAAACTAAAAGGGGTTTTAAAAGTTAAGACATCAAGATAGCTTTTTTAGATGTAAACATTAAAAGCAAAGAAGATTAAACTTCTAGTCTGTACTTTATTAAACAAAACTATCTCAAATACTGCTTTTTTATTTATAATTCATCTACAAATTCAATGTGTTCTGTGAAATAAAAGTTTTTAAAATGTCACTTAGCCTCAAGTAATTGGGGCTTCCCAGAATCTCGTTTCTCAAACTTAATTCATCCCAGAAGGCGGTTCAAAAAGCCATTTGTTTGAACTCCGAATCATTTCTTCACCCCAATAGGAATAATGTAAATGTAATTAATCCGTTCCAGATCCCCAAATGATTCCCTGTTTTAACCTTTCTTATATACAGTGCATGACTAATGTACTGTGTAAGCTACAAATACACACTTCTTTTCTGAAATGTACTGAACCACCCCCTACTAGCCATAACTGAATTTTTCATACATCACTGTCTCGGAAATACTACCTCACTATCTATCACCTGCTAACTGCTGTTCTTTTATCCAATCAGCAACAGTTATTCTACCTATTCAACTGCCTGGGATTGTTGTTTTGTGAGCACCTTCACACCCTTGGCAACCTTAACACTCTTTATATTTTAAAATTATACCAATCACGGATTAGCAAAAACAAACAAACAAAAACCTTCTCTCCTTTGTTTGTTTTCAAACAAATATGAAAGTGTTGCCAGGTTGGAAGCTGAAGTTTTGGTTGGCAACCAAGACATGTTTTTGGTGAACAACTAGGTTGAGAACCAAATTGTTTGAGATGGGGGACATTCGAGAACGGATGTTTGACTGTATTTGATTTCTGTGGCTGGCAGGCTGGCTGAATGAATGAGGAAATGTGAATGACACAGAGCACATTTCTCAGCTAAGGAATCTGATTGAAACTCTTAACAAACATCACCACCCTAAAATAAAAGCAGAATACTTCAGATCAGCTGGTCAGTTTGAAAACTTTCAGCAGTACAAGCCACAGAAGAAACATCCTAAATTGCGACGTGTGCTCCAGACTTCAAGAGAGGGTAGCAGCTTACTTGCAAATTTAAGAAACTAGATATATTGTTAGAAAGTTAATCCCATTCTCCAACTGCAAAATTCAGGGAGCGGGCCCATCCTTTAAGAGCTCCTTGGACATCCCAATCAACTAGCAAACCCTCACTTTGCTTCCTGCAGGCTGCCTGTCCCCAATAGCTATTTAAGAGAAGGGAGATGACTCAGTGGTTGAGCATGGACCTAAGAACCAGGAGGTCACAGTTGGATTCCCAGTCAGGGCACATGCTGGTTTGCAGGCTCAATTCCCAGTAGGAAGTGTGCAGGAGGCAGCTAATGATTCTCTCTCATCATTGATGTTTCTTTCTCTCTCTCTCTCTCTCTCTCTCTCTCTCTCTCTCTCTCTCTCTCTCTTTCTCTCTCTTTCTCTCTCTCTCTCCTTCTCTCTTCTTCTCTGAAATCAATAAAAACTTTGTTTTAGGAGGGCACCTTTATAGGAGGTAAATGCTTTCTGCAGTCTAAGATTCATCAGAATGTCTTCAAAGTGAAGACACACGGAAGGGCTGGCTGAGTACGTAGGTTAGGGCAGCCTGATGACAAGGCCAACTTCTGGTCACAGTGCCATCTTTCTAAGCCATCCTGCACCAACGTTTTGTTCTCTCTCTTCTGTTTTTGGAAGGTTTTGTTGTTTCATTTTAAACTTATGGGCTTAACAGGTAAAACACGAGACAGTCCTCCTTCCCTCAAAACCCAGGCGGCTGCTGCCCGAGATTCTACTCGCCTCATAAGCAGACAGAGGACCAGGAGGGAGAGGGCGTAGTACTTCCTCATGAAGGCCTCGTTCCGCTTCTGGCGCTGGTGCATTTCTCCGCCGCACTTGCGGTTGCAGCGGCACAGGCCGAAGCACAGCCCAGCCAGCGGCATGAGGATGGCAAAGAGCAGTCCCAGGAGGGCACAGAGAAGAATCCCGAGCTCATACTGGATGACCTGCAAGTCAAGCAAAAGAATCAGCAGGTGCCGCAACCCAGAGTCAGGAGAACACGGTTCATTTTCTCTAACCTGTCTGATACCCTGAGCACACATCCCCACTGTGAAGCTCCTCTTGAAACAGAGGAAGCAGAGATTTGAGTGACGGGAACACCAGGTCAGCCGTTACTATCCTCTTCCAACTCCCGAGAAAATGTCCAAATGCAGGGTCAAGTTGCAAATGGTTTTATTTCAACCCCAGACATATTGTTTTTAAATGGTGTAACCACTGTTGGCAGAAGTGCTTGCATAATGAAGATGGATAGGGTGTTTTTCGACCAGAAAAAAAATAGGACCAGTGGACGTTATCAAGGATTCAAAGCCATTTGGATTGAATCAATTAATGTCAAGTTTATGGTCAGTTACAAAAGAATCTCTACTACACTGAAATTTAGAAAACAGGCTCAGACTTTCTGAGCCAGCTGTGGCCACTTGGTCTCCTCACCCACACACTAGGAATAACATACCTTATCTGGTCATTGTGACCATCGTGGTTAATGTAGGAATAGCAATAAGGCATGAGTAGACACCTACTAAGTGACTCTCACTCAGAGCCAGTAGAGACTGGGCTTGGCTGCCTGGGTCTCAGACAGTTACTAGGTGCCTGGATGCTTAGCAACTGGCACAACTTGTAGATACAAGCACATGCCAAACTATGTTTTCATAATCGCTCCTGACTTTATTCTAGGAGAAATAACAATGTGTTATTTCGTCAACTGCATGACGAAACTTCATCTCATTCCAACTCGCATGCAGTTATGTTTCCACAAAACAAGACATGTTTAAAGAAAGGCAGAAAATGACAGGTTGGCAGTTTGCAACTAAGGGGCCCACTAGCCACTTAGCAATAGAGTCTAGAGCCGAGCTGAGCCAAGGGAAACAAAGCGTAAGTGTTAGTCCCAGGAGCCAACGCGATGTTTTTAGAGAGAATGCTGAGCTTGGAGTCAGAAGAGGGGCCTTCAGTCCCAGCAGGGGCTTCTGGTTCCCTCAACTGGAAAGCGATACAGAAGCACCGACTTCATAAGCACAGTGTGAGGGACACACAATGAAATGGTTAATGAGAAAACAACTAGCCAACTGCCCACCCTGCAGCAAATACTCAATTCCTATTGGTTAACTCTGGGGCCAAATGCTTAAGAGTATTAATTAAGTCAGAGGCACAGGGCACTTGAATATTATCTATTTAGACATTACAGTTAGGATGTTAAGAGGAAAAAAGTGGCGGCATTTTGCCACATCCATCAGTACATGGTCTTGCTAAAACTAAGGCCGATGGACAGGGAGAGTCTGCATTGGCTCCCTTGAGGATTTACATAATTGGCCAATGGAGAAAGCAGCCCTGAGCACCCTGAACTCTTATAAATTTTGCTAAGTTTCTCAGCAAATATTCTAAATTATTTACTTTTTTTCTTTTTCAAGGAATTTAGAATTCTTTCTGAGTCTTAAGAAACACTGAACCCAAATCCAGGAGAGAAAGTGTATTGAGATGTTTTAAATATCCTCTCCTTAGCTCGAAACAACAGCTTTCCTCTGTGCGGTCAGACAGCATAGGGACAGATGTCATTTCATGGGCCTCCATGACAAACACCAGCATCTCTGGGGTGCTCTGTGGACTGCCTTGAAGGGAAGATGGGGATCCAAATTTGCCAAGATGGGTCATCTTTCTCCCCTGAACTACTACAACTGAGGGATGAGGAAAGACGATGGCGGAGACCACAGTGAAACCACGGATCTAAAGACCATCACGATGGACATGACAGGGAAGGACAGAAAGTTCTGGAGAAAGCATTATGTTGATCCAGCTGACTGGCTTTAGACAGAGCAATAGGGACGAGCAGATGAGGACTTTACCTGCAGAGTCAACACCACGCTTTCTGGCTGTGGAGGCCACAGCAGAGGAGTTGGTGGGAGGCGAGGCAGCGTGCACCAAGAAAACAGAAACAGTGTCATGAGAGGTCAGCCGCAGAGGAAACCAGTGAGAGACAGACCAACACAAGGTGGACAGAGAAACCGCAAATGCTTGAGAGGCAGAGGGCTTTGGGTAGAATCAAGTTCTGGAGCTTAGATTTGAATCACCTTTGGATTTCTGTGAAGGTTCTGCATCGGTACGCTGATCAGGTATGCACATGGGACTGGGAAGGAAAGGTGTAAATGCTTAACCTGCTCCCCATGTGGCCTTCGTGAAATAGGAAGCGGTAGCTGCCTAGAAACCTGGAGCCAAAGGCGACACCTCCCAAAGTGTCCTTTCTAAAATGAAACCCGATGGTGTCATTGCCTTGCCTAATAGCATTCCGTGGGTCTCACCATGTTTAATTCAGACTTCTTAATGTGGTCCAACAGAATTCCGCCTGGCTTCATGACCCAGTTCGTCCTGACCACTGCAGTCTTCGGAAAGCACCTGCTCTCTCCCCTTCCTCACTCTGGCCTCCCTCATATGGCTTCTTGTCCAGGACATTGTTCCCATTACCCTCTCCCTCCCACCTGCCATGAAACTCAGCATCCTTAGTTGTATGTTCCTCCTCGTCTTGAGAGACTGGGACTGCGGTCCATCCCTCCTCCATGCTGCCTTGGAGCCTGTACTTGCCTTTCACAGCACGCATCCCTCTTGGGAGACTGGCTGTACGCTCTGGCCTCGGAGAACAATGACGGTCACACATGCCATCCTCCCTCCAGTGCCCAGCCCGGGACCTGCCATACAGTAGTTGCCTATTCAGAATCAGCTAAATGATGAGCTGAGGGACTAGGAACCACTGCCTAAGACCAACGATTTCTAAACAGTGGCCCAGAGACAGTGACTGGTCAGCCATGAGGACAGACCAACCCTTGGCGAAGTCGAAAAATAAAGGTAATGAGTTTCCCATAAGACAAAATTCACTCAGTTTATGACTATTCTTTTTTTGTGTGTGTGTGGGTGGGGGAGAGGAGAAATGTGTATAAAGGGAAACAGAAGTTATTATGGTTGACTTGATAAATGTCCTTACGTGGCAAAATGAAATTAGGTGGCTCTGGGTCATTCCCCAGATTAGTTTTTTTGAAACTGTAAGGTCCAAGAAGTCTAAGTATAGGAACTATGATTTTAGATGGCAGCTTTCCACAGATGAGAAAGAATAATGTGATATTATTAACTTTTAAATGGGATATCCAAAATGTTGGCGTAGACAGTTCAGATACCTTTGCCTTCAGGGTCACATGGGGCATGCTGAGTGACCCCAGTCCCGCTTCCTGGGTAGAGGGCCCCCTAGGCTTGATTCCTCCCAAACTCACTGCCACGGGCGCCCCACAGTGCATGTTAACCACTGCCTTCAGGCTCCTCCCACTGAAAAGGGTGTGAGGGGATTTGGAAAGAGCAGGAACCTTTAAAATGGGCCTGGTAATGGCTGTGAATAGGAAACCGGCTCTTGGCTCCCACACTGGCTGCAGACAGGGCAGCACAGCCTGTGTTTCACTCCCTCCCTCCCGCCCCCTACATCAGTGTGTCTGTCATGTCTGATGGGGTGGGTACCAGCCAAGCACTCCAGAGAGCTGGGTGCCTTTCCACCTTCTCCCGGCCTGTGCTGGCTGTCATGCATGTATAAGGGTATTATTGCGGCGATGCCGTGGTTTGCTGATCAGCTCTGCCACCTCGTGTCTGTTTCCTATTTTATATGGTCACTGCAAAGGCAACCGGAGAAGCAGTGAGGAGCAACCTGTTTTCTGCATCATTCTGTTCTAAGTACTATTTAGTGCATGGTCAGTGGGTTAGTTCCTGTGCAGCACTTAGACCAGAGCCTGCCAGTACAATGCTCAATCAGTAACAGTAAGAAGCAGTCACCAATGCACATCAGCATCGCTCTCATGCCTGAGCTCCAGTGAGCCTCAGGTGATGATCCAGTCAAGAGCTTTCTTGCACTGCTGTCTATCCATTCTAGCACGGCCTTCTGGGATCCCTAGAACAGTGTTTGGCAAACTGCGGCTCGAGAGCCACATGCGGCTCTTTGGCCCCTTGAGTATGGCTCTTCCACAAAATACCACGGCCTGGGTGAGTCTATTTTAAAGAAGTGGCGTTAGAAGAAATTTAAGTTTAAAAAAATTAGCTCTCAAAAGGAATTTCAATCGTTGTCCTGTTGATATTTGGCTCTGTTGACTAATGAGTTTGCGGACCACGGCCCTAGAAGATGCTTTCCTTATTTGGAAAGGAGAGCATCCTATAGGCAGCGCATCATCACGCTCTTAAGTTGCTCCTAAAAAGGACATGGGTTTGAACAGAACAGGTCTCTCATACCCAGATTTTTTTCAATAAATATGCAAAGCATTATAATATATTTTTTCTTCCTTATGACTTTTTAATAACACTTTTTCCAGCTTCCTTTATTGTAAGAACACAGTAGCAATACAGATAACATACAGAATATGAGTTACTCAATTGCTTGTTATTGGCAAGGCCAACAGTGGACGATGGGAATAGAGTGAAGATACAAATAGTTGAGCTGTGAAATGATTGAACTCAAGTAGGTTGAGGAAGCAATGCTATTTTTGTAAGTAGGCTGGGAATTTAAATATTTGAACTTTCAAGCCCTGTGCCAATGTCTAGATATACAGTAGAACCTCGTTTTTCGAACTTAATTTGTTCCAGAAGGCTGTTTGAGAAGCAATTTGTTCAAAAATAGAATCATTTTCCCCCCATTAGAAATAATGTAAACTGAATTAATCTGTTTCAGACCCTCAAATGATTTTGTTTCAACCTTTCTTATACACAGTACATGTCTAATGTACTGTCTAACTTATAAACACTTCTTTTCTTAAATTTACGGGACCACCCTACTAACCTTAAAGAAATTTTTCACTTATCACTGCCTATGAAATACTTTCACCAGTTAACTGTTTTTCCTTTATCCAAATCAACAACTGTTTTTCTATCTATTCAATCACCTATAGTTGCTTTTCCATGAGCACTTTCACACCCTTAGCCACATTAGCACTCTTGGTGGCCTCCTTATGTTTTAAAATTGTGCTAATGGCCAGCAACAAAAGCATTCTCTCTTTGCTTGTGGGCAAGAAGTTTTTGGTCATGCTGAGTTATTAACATGAAAGAGTTGTCAGGTTGAAAACTGAAGTGTTAGTCCACAACCAAGACTTTTTTTTCTGTGAACAACTTGGTTGAGAACCGAACTGTTCGAGATGGGAGACATTCAAGAAAGAAGGTTAGACTGTACATCAAATCTCTAGTTACCCCCTGAAGGGCTAAGGTGAGAATGTCCACATATCCAGACCACCACATATCCAGACATCCAGCACCCAGACCATCAGGTCATGGAGATCGGTACCACAGACTAACCTGGGTACCGGTTAGTCATCTCAAGAACGTGACTACTAAAACAACTCTGACTGTGGCTCTCTCCTTTGGAACACTTCTGGGTTTTGCTAGCTGTGTTCAGTCTGCAGACTCTAAGGCCCATGAATACATCTTGACATTTATTTCAAGCAAAACTCCAGGCTCGTGTGCTCGCGCTTGCTCTCGCTCTCGCTCTCTCTCTCTCTCTCTCTCTCTCTCTCTCTCTCTCTGTCTGTCTCTCTCTCTCTTTTTTTTTTTTTTTGTTTTGTTTTAGTTTGTTCAGCAGCTATTGGCAATTAAGAATTTAGAGAATCAAAAGCTATATCCGAATTTTGACTACATGGGGGTTGGTGCCCAAATTGCCACATTGCTCAAGGGACTTCTCCTACCTTAGCTAAGGAAGTAGCATAGTACTGCCTTTAAGGAAATATTAGTTTTTAAATAACATACAATCTGAAAGGTGAAGGTTTCTTCAATGCTCCTTTTGTCATTTTTTGCTGTAGTTCAAAGGAGATTGATAAGGAGCTCCAACATTCCACAGAAATTCTTTATCAAAAAAGGTTTCTCAATTCACAGATTACATAACCAGTTGCTTAAAGTTTTACTTTTTAAGTCAGTTAAAATTTGTTCACACTTATTTTCATAACAAATATATCAATAAAAATTACCTTCCCATAATCCATTGACAGTTCAAACTTCTTTTGTACTAGTTTTCTTATAATATCTGGCGGAGGGGGAGGGGGGAAGGGAGAGACACAGAACAGTAGCAAGATTAATTTTTCAATAAAAGTATAAAATGTATATTTAGAGAATAAAAATCTACATATATTTACAAATTATTATACCTCTTTATTATAGTCTTAGAATTTTATTCCTATTTTGTAATACAGGTAAATAATTGAGCTGATGAGTCTCTTAACTATAGCAAAAACTGAAGGGCAAATACTACTTGGCTTACTACTTTGCCAGTGGCAGAATAGAAAGCTGCTATTTTTAAGAGTTTTCAGCTTCTTGCTGGGACCGGTTTGGCTCAGTGGATAGAGCATCGGTCTGCAGACTGAAAGGTCCCGGGTTTGATTCCTGTCAAGGGCATGTACCTTGGTTGCTTGCACATCCCCAGTAAGGGGTGTGCAAGGGGCAGCTGATCGATGATTCTCTCTCATCGATGTTCCTAACTCTCTATCCCTCCCCCTTCCTCTCTGTGAAAAATCAGTAAAATATATTTTAAAAAAAAAGTTTTCAGCTTCTTACAATACACCTTAATATTTATCAGCAAAAACCACAAATACTTTATTAAAAGTCACTGATAAAATGTTACAGATTCTTCATTGTTTGGAACCACAAATGCAATTCCTTTTTTAATAATTTCACATAAATAGTATTTTACAAATGAAAGGATTCTTATCAGGAACCTAACCCAAGAGTTCCAAATCACATGAGATATCCTTCCCATCTCATCTCCAAACACTGTGTGGGACCCCAGAAATTTCAGCTATGCAAAACTGGACTTTTCCATGCGTGTTCATTCTGAGCATTTTCAAATTCTCACATAGGTTAAGAGCCACTTCTTCTAGTTCAGCAATCTGGTAATAATATGCACAAGTGATCCTTGCTGGTGTGACTCAGTGGTTAGAGTGCCAGCCTGTACACAGAAGGGTCGCAGGTTTGATTCCAGGTCAAGGAAATGTACCTTAGTTGCAGGTTCCATCCCTACCCCTCTTACGTCCCCACCCCTGCCAACTGGGCAAGTGCAAGCATCAATTGGTGTGTCTTCTCTCCTCTTTCTCTCTCTCCCCCTTGTCCCCTACTTTTCACTCTTTCTGAAAATCAATGGGAAATATATCTCACTAAGTCAAACAAATTTGGAACTATCTGGTTATTTGGATAATTTGACCTAGTTTACCTTTTATCAAGAAAAACGTTTAAGGAGCCAACTCATTGCATAAAACTGTTTTAATCTGATTGAGTCAGCCCAGTAGGTATGATCAGTTCTGATAGCTGAGAGGTTAGTTGAAAAAGAAAAGGCAGGGAATCATGCCTTAGGCGTTTTATTTTAACTTAAGGCATAACAATCAATATGCATACCTGTTAGCCCATCATTTGAAGAGAAGCTGGGGTCCTTTTTTGAGTAGGAGCTCTCTGGCTAGAATGGAGGTGAATTAAAATGGCATCTATGGCCGAAACCAGTTTGGCTCAGTGGTAGAGCGTCGGTCTGCGGACTGAAAAGTCCCAGGTTCGATTCCGGTCAAGGGCATGTACCTTGGTTGCGGGCACATCCCCGGTAGGGGGTGTGCAAGAGGCAACTGGTCGATGTTTCTCTCTCATCGACGTTTCTAGCTCTCTATCTCTCTCCCTTCCTCTCTGTAAAAAATCAATAAAATATATTTAAAAAATGGCATCTATGGTAAAAGAAAGCTCCTCACTTCTTTAAAGGCCGACTTGGGCCAACCACCCCATCTCCAATACACAAGCTGAAGGTTGATGAAAATGGTGTCATCGGCTGACAAAGTCACACTACCTACACACAGCATCGGTATTTCAGAGAAAGCTCTGGGTGATCAGGGAGCTTCCCTCAAGGTACAATGGGACCTGGCTTATCTGATTCTTCAGTGATAGGAATGGGGAGAGGGATAGGCTTTTCTCTAACTAAACACTCCTCCCCACCCTAATCTCCAAACATTGGGATCACTGTGTAAAGAAACAGAACCAGTAAGAGACAGAGATGGAGACAAGTATAAAGCTACAGATAAGCTGGAGCTAGAAAGCTTTATTTTAAGGAGCTGTGGGGGATGAAACCTTTAGGGCACGCTGGCTGGCTGGCAACTCAGGCAGGAGTTGATGCTACAGTCTTGAGGCTGAATTTCCTCTTCTCCCAGAAATCTCAATTTCTTCTCTTAAGGCCTTCAGCTGATTGAATGATGCCCACTCAATATAAAAAGCTACATCCTTCACTTAAAGTCAACTAATCAGAAGTGTCACCCACATCTACAAAATACTTCCACAGCAACACCTAGATTTGAGTTTCATTAACTCGTTGGGAACTACAGTCTGGCCAGGTGATCTCACCAGCGCTCCACCAAGGCTGGCATTGTTCCCCGCAGAACAGGGATGCCCAGTGTGCTGGAGCAGAGTACACCTGAGCACCCAAGTCAGTACCTGTGACCAGGCAGACTCACCACCATCAAGGTCCACTCCTGACCATCCAACCCCTCGCCAAGCAGAGGGCCACATTTGGGGGCCAATTGGTGCAAGAGCAGGACCATACACAGTCTCTGAGGACAACTAATCTTGAATGGTGGCCCTTAATCACCCCCCAAAACTGGCTTATGCTATGTTTGCTGAGTTAAAAGGGAGGCAATTGATGGCTTTGGACAGATTTCCAGCGGAAAATGGCAGAACTACACTAACTTGCCACTTGTAAGGTTTGGTGGCTCTTCCAGCAGCCCCATTTCATGAAGAGTGCTCTCTGCCCTTGCCTTAGGGTGAACACCCTCTGCCAGCTCCTCAGCTCACATTCTCCTGTGGCTAATGTGGTGAGGCTGAGCATGAAGAAGTGATTCTGGGTACCCAATATTATGCGACTACCTTGGGTCCTAGAGTTCACAGCACCCTTGGGCAGCCTCTTTCCTGCAGGCCTGGATGGCGAGCCTGTCTGAATCTATGCTAGAGGGACACGCACTTTGCACCTGCTCCCCACGCAGGCACCGTCCTGCACTCTCAGTTTCACGGAGCCCTTCATCCTGCAGTTCGAATTCTCTGTCAACATGACTGAACTCTGTGGTTCAGTTTCCAATAAAGAGAGATTGATGCTTCAGACCTTTAGAAGCCACACCAAGTTTGTTGGCACTTGTCAAAAGTATCCCCATGCCTCCAAGTGTCTCATCAAGTATTCCTTCATTTAAGATGCAACCAGGCACCTTGTCGTGCTTTATTCCTCGGTGACAGCTGTCAACACGTGGCTGTGCGAGCCCCCTCCCTAGAGGACTGATGCATGTGCATGGGCTTGTCCCAGAATTAACCACGGTGCTGACTCTCTCTTAGAGAAAAATACTCGGGGGGAAAAACAAACAAACAAACAAACAAACAAAACAAAATGCTGCTAGGGAAGCTATTCTAGTGAAAACATCTGGGACCAATTTAGTCCTCATAGCTTTCTCAGACACATGTCCACACCAATACACCAATCCACCAACCGTGAGCTGGGATTTTATTTTACCTTTACAGCAGGTAACCAAACCTGTTGCTGGCAAGACTTCCCTTCAGAGTCTTTCAATGGGAACAGGTGCTCCCTCAGCCGCACAGGTAAGGGCGACTTCTGGGGTCTCCTGGGCTTGGGATTCTTGACACTGCGCACCCCATGAGGGTTCAGGGCCCAAGAACCCTTTTAGGGTTGGGAACAGGCAGGGCAGCCTTGCCACCAGTGACAAATCCAGGGAGGGACAGGGAACACGGCCAAAACATCCACGGATTCCTGTGGTGTTTGGTTTCCTCCCCTAAGTCATTCTTGGAAAGTGTTACTGTTTCTGTGAAAAATTCGCCTGGAGGATCTGAAAAGAATGTGGCTTGAATCACATTAATGCTTGGTCTGTCCCAGGTCCATGTGATCTCACACACACTCCTGTGAGAAGGGGGATCAGCTGAATCCCATTCTCAGCTGCTGACTGTCAGCTACTGACTGTCACCACCCCAACAGGGAACAGAAGGTGGGACTAGGAACAGAGTGAAGGGAAACCTCTTCTTCTGGGTATTCTTTGAGCTTACTTTTAGTTTTTAAAAGAATAAAGTTTTGTAAACAAAATACTTTTACTGACATACTTCTCTATGTTCCCCCCTCCCCCTCCCAAAAAAAAGAACAAAAAGAAGACATAGTTCTAACACTATCAAGTTACAAATTCCACTGCCTATAAGTATTCATCAGATTTTATATCATGTGTAGGATATGTGACCCGGAGCCATGTTTAGACTATTTCAGTTTTTAGTATTTGTTATTTAAAAGGAAAGAAAAGAAAAGAAAAAAAAAATGGGGGAAAAAGACCAAAATCTGCAAAAATTTAGATGCTACCCAATAAGTAATCATCAGAAAAGAAATAATGAAGTATTCAATACCTGGAAGAAACTCAGTTTTTCCCCAAGAAGTGTTTGATTCAGACAAAATACACCCCTCTAGTGTTTTATTAATGCCCCAGACCAGCTTCCAGTGGCCCTGTATCCATCCCTCCCACTTGGCCAACTGAGCTCTGCTCTCTCCCAGTCTCTCCTGTTTGTCTCCAAATCTCTTTCTGCTGGTTGTACTGGTTGATGCAATTATACAATTTACATAAGGATTATAAAAACAGATAAAGCATGACTACCCAAAGCAAAAGTTGTTGTTTATATAAATTCCACTTTTAATGTTTTTAAAACTCAGTAAAGAGGCGGTGTTTATTAGATAATCTGCATACACAGACCAGTGGGTAAGAATCTTGTTTTTCTTATAGGCCATATCTTTATTTATAGATTCTATTTAAGAATATAATGTGATTTTAACTAAATTTAAAAAATAAATAACTGTTGGCCTGGGAGGAAAAAAATCTAAAAAGCAGTAGAGCAAAATATAAACATAGGTTATCTTTGAGTGGAGAATGGACCCTTTTTTACTTGTTTCTGTGCACTTTACATTAACACATACTACTTATAAAATGGAAATAAATACTTAATTCCATTTTTAATTTTTTGAGGAAACTC